AGGGCAACCACAATTCTGGGGTTCCCCTGGAACAAGCCACGCCCAAATGCACGAAAAGGGACACTTGCTGCTTGAAGCATCTAAGCCGGAAAGTTCCACGGGATGCCGACCCAAGTCTCCTACAAGGAAAAGGCCTTTGATCGATTGAGCGCAGGGGGCATTGGGTCAAGGCGGCTCCTGTGTCCGGTGCCCCAGTTGCCAGTTTCGGAGGAGCTCCAACCATGAAGCTTCGGGGCACTTCACTTTTCTTGGCATCTTTTCAGGCATTTAGAACACACTTGTTCATCTTTTTTGGTCCCGGGCCTCACATGAACCAAAAAGGGGCCAGGAGGTTCTGTTTATCTTTAGGGGGCCTCCCAAAAACCCGTCAGGCGTGCCTCATGGCCTGTGGCCGCGTGTTGCGCTGGCAGCGCGTAGGCGGGCGGGCTGATCCGGCGGCCGGTTTTTGACGAGCGCCGTGTCAAGCGAAAAGGATTAAGGGGCGATGAGAGTTGGCACCAAGAGGAAGGCCATGGATTTGAAGCTTGAGTGTCTCAGGAAGATTGACTCCAAGATACTCCATGATCTCCCGCATGAGGGATAGCACTGTGCCCCCTCTGCTCCGCGATGCCTCTTGATAGGCCTGACGTGCGAGGTCGGCATTCAGCACAACTGTGCATAAGAACATGCTTGAACAACCCTTGAACAAAGTTTGAGTCACTGCATGGCCCAGACTTGATGTGCAAAACAAATGTTTTTTTGATGGTCAGTGACCTGAAGGGGAACAATGGGCCAATCTTTTGCTAAGCGAGCGCTTGTCGGTTGGCACGCCACTTCCCCTGCCCTTCTGTGTTTGATTGCGAAGATCACAGGGCCTTGCAAGACCCAGATTGCATCATGTGTATGATGAAAGCTGGTTGCAAGCAATGGGCTGATCATCAACTCTTCTAGTCTTTGGCTGAAACCAAAAGAGCCTCAAACAATCACGGTTCAGCCAGGCCAGGCTGCCTACTGCTGGCTGGATTCGCCGGAGGTGCGTGAGGGCTTTGCCAGGAGAAAGTAGGGGTAGAGTGCCTGTTGAACGAGCGGTTCCCGTCTCCGCTCCCCTCCCCTCCCCGCAAACCTTCATTCCTTTTTGATGTTGCTGTTCGTCGGCGCCTGGTTTCGGACGTGATACTCGCGTGACTCAGGCAGTGTGGATCGCGCAGCAGTTTCTGCACGGCATTCAGCTCAGAAGATCCGCCTTTCCATCTCTTGGCCAACGCCACGGGATTGGCCCATGCTTTCTTCAGGTTTCGCAACGCATGACTTGGGGGTGTGTTCAGTCCATGACCAGTCTCACTTCCTGAGTTCCTGGACTTTAAACAGTTTGGACGTGCTTTGGCCCATCAACCCCATCGACTGAACCCCATCGACTCAGGAAGTGAGCAGTTCAAGTCACCTTTGGCTTTGTGATTTGAGAAGTTTCCAGGTTGATTCACTCGTAGCCTAGGTGCTTCACCGAAACAGGGCCAGCCAAGCTTGATCCTGCCTGATGAAGCAGCGCAGAGAGCCATCACAAGGCGCAGAACTGGCATGACACACGGCTTGTCAAAATTAGGGTTCCCCTCTTCATCGGGTGGTGTTTTCCTTTCGATTTTCCCAAAAGTGCTGGTTTCATGACATACTCCTGTTTCATTGGGTGTTGTCTTCCTTTTCATCTTGCCAGCAGTGCCTGGCTTCGTTGCAGTGTTCCACTTGCAGTGACCTCTATGTTGTTCATGATGTTTGCTTTTTTTGCGCTCGGGGGGGGGGGGGGAGGGGATCTCCAGATGTTGTTTTCCTTTGAATCTTCTCAAAAATGTGCCTGGTGTTCCATTTGGAAGTCTGAACAGAATCGCTGCTTGAAGTGGGCCAGATGTTGCAATGTGCCACGCCCAACTAATCCGTGTATACACACTTCCCGAAGCCTCTATTGGCCAGATGGGTTTGCCTGGTTTCATGGAAATTATGGTAACTGCCATCTGAAGATCCCCTTACCCCCCCGCCCCCCCTCCCCCCGCGCAAAAAGGTAAGCATGATAACCAAATAGAGGCAAACAGACCGGGAAAATACAAAAACACATTGACCAACATCCAGGTAAACATTCCCAGAAAGGGGAAATAGGCCTTCCATGTTTGTTGGTCAGAGGGTAAAGCCATACCTTCCGCCCGGCTCCAACTCCCAGGGGATGTTGGGGCCCAACGTCAGGTGGCAAGAGCGGCGGCGCCAGGAGTTGGCCCAGCCACAAGGCATCAGAGTTGGGTGTACACCTTGATTTCTTTTTGGGAGGTGTTCCGTGCTTTTGAGGCTACCCCCTTGTTTAGAGGGGCTTAAAAGTTTGGGGTGTGCTTTTTATGAGGGTACCCCCCTTTTTAGCGGGTTTTGCAGAAACCCAAATGGAACAACACCCCTACAACAAGAAAATTAGGTTGCTTTTGGGGGGTTTGCAGCGAGGTTGGATTGGAGGGACATCACCAATTTTGAGACAACCCTTTGACAGGCTTCCGGGCCCTTCAGCTTTCAATTGGAACCAAAAGCAACAAATAGAATGGGCATGGTCCAAGCATGGCGCACTAAAAACGGTTTGTTGGGTTTTGTCCAACTTGTAGAGGACCTTTTTTTTGCTGAGCCCCCTAAAGTGGGTTGTTTGATCGCCTCTGGGCAAACCATATTTCATTGAGCCCCGTCAGGCCCAGGAGCCCCCTGGAGACTGCCGCGGGACTGGGGAGGGCGCAGAGTCGGAAATCGCGTGTTGTTTGGCCAGCTGGGTGGAATTGCGAGCCCGGCTTCAAGTCTCATGCTGGCTGGGTGGTGATGGGAATGCTGGGTTTCCTCCATGTTCAACTGCAAACAGCACAGACTGCAAGCTATGGAAGGGATGGCCTGAAGGGCACCGGATGCGAGTCAAGCTGGGCTGGTACATGATTTGTCTCGTGGTGTAGAGTGATTTGGCGGGACTACGGCATGATGTATCCGCATGATGGATGAAGTGACATTGATATGTTATAGCATAGAGAGTTGCGTCACGTGACAATGACGCGGTACGACAATCAAGATGCAGCTTGCCGCGACATGCCATGATGCGAACCATGTGCTATCATCACAGCCATGATACGCGTGAGACTAAATATCATTCACCGTAGCTTCTTCGGATAGTTGTCAGCCCGAAGCAGGGAAGGGGGCCACTTGCAGTCAAAGCCAGGTTAATAAAGGAGAATCTCCTTGAATGGGCGGGAATATTGATCAACCCCCACATCGGCGGACATGACTCCCCCCAGGCCGTTTGTCCACTGTCCAAAGGGTGGCCAGGATGACGAACTGCACGCGGAACTGATGGAGGACCCCGCTGTGCAGGACGCCAAGGCCGCTTTTCCTTTTTTCTTTTCGAAGAACGGGTATTTTTTTCTGGGCTCCCCGAACTTTTGCTGGTTTTAGACGTCATATGTTGGTCCCTGGTTCCAAACATGGCCCTTTTGCATCCTTTTGCTGGTGTTCAGCATCTTTTGGTCCCTACAGCGAGTTTGCTTTGGAGGTGATGTTCAAAGGGGAGAACTGGGCAGCCCGATGCTTGGGGCTTGGGGTTTTGGGTTTAGGGTGGGTTCGGCTTACGCATGAGCCTCGGCGCCTTCAGCTTGGTAATCAAAGGAAGACCGTCCGTCCATTTTGGAGGTCCGATTTTGACAAAACCAGCTGGCTTTCCCTGGTGCAGATGTCTTAGTCAGCTGTGTTTACTGACCCAAGCGAATCTACAACACTAGTGAACTGCGCACCTAATATTGCTGCTTCATCACCGCCACAATGTCGCACTGTGTCAATAAGACTAGTCAACCATACACTGTCAACCGGACATGCTCCGTTAAATCTCAGGTCCTTTATCTTCTTTCATTGGCGCGGGAGGGCCGGGTGAGAGCTGTCGAAACGCCTCCCTTTGCGTGGGTCGTGCATGTCAATGTCGACATATCGTTCTACTACACAAATGACGTGTTTGTGCGTCTTCACGGTGTTAATAACACTCATCTAGGTCAGGGGTCAACAAAAAATACCTCAAAATGTGCACGGTTGCTGCGCAGGATCAAGGTTGGAGTCGGACAGCATTTTGTGCGCAACGGGAATCAGGATTTTTCGGCCTGGCAGGAAACGCAGGTGAATAAGACGAAATTCCTTGGCAGCCCCAGAAAAGAAAGACGCTGGCGGGAAAGAGGTGCCCGGGCTCCCCAATCACCTCCCCCAATTGAGAAGTATCATCGCGCATTCCCAATTGAGATGTGTGGGAGCACAGGTCCCAACAAATGGTCCGTTCGGCCTCGGACAGAGAACGTTTGGCTCAAGTACAGGCCTACCTAGCACTCGAAGAGTTTTAGCCAGAGTAGGCAGAGATATTTTGGCGGCTGGGAGGGTGCGCCGACCAAGTCAGTCAAGCCAAGGACATTGCAATGCACCGCTGCGCAGTGCGCGGAACGCAAAGCGGAACATGCTTCTGGTACTTGATTTGTCAATGCCTGAATCCTGACATGGCTTGACATGGCTTGTCACGTCAAGTGCATGCCTTAGTCCTGACCCAAGACTCGAGTCTGCCGCAAGGACAGTGCGTATCGTCCGAGGTCAGGAGTGTCCTGGCTGATGTTGGAAGAGCAAAGCGTGACCAATCCGCAACACTGCAACAATCTCAATCTCCAAAAGTCACGCATCCAACGCCAAATGTTTGGTATCAGTAGACCATCAAATTCGGGCAGCTCATTAAACTGGGAAATAAACAAACAACAAATTGAAACACGCATCTCAAGACTCACAACCTCCATGTCCGATTGAACAGGCAAGCACCATCCAGAAACGAGTGCTCCATTGTTGCAGGGGAGGCTACTTGCTCAATAACCCGTTCCCCCTGCCAGTTTTCTCGTGTTCTTGGCCTTTTTTTCGGGTTCGACCGGATTTTCTTGGAAAGGCAGGTTTACCGAATGTCCGAGTGTGTCTCCAAAGATCCAGGCAGCGAAACATGGGCCATGTGCCTGTTGCCGTTCACTTCCATTTGGTCCCCCTGGTTTTGTTTGATTTGCTCCAGTGGTTTCTCCTGGCCGTTGGCAAAACCAATGGTATCCCATTTTGGTTGGATTGGGTGAATTCACCACCCATTTTAGAACCTTTATTTTAGTGGTTGGAGTGGGATGGTTTTTTTCTTTCTTTTTTTCTGGGGGTATGGGCTTGGGATTTTGAGCCATGGCCATGTGAGTGGACATGTTGGAATGGAGAGCAAGTCGCAAGTAAGGATCTACATGTCGTGGAAGCGCCTAAGTTTAGATTCGGGTTTGTGTCAAGCCATATGTGGGTGTGTTCTTCTTCTTTTTTTGGGCACCCTGCGTGTGTTGGTTTTAAAAAGGGAAGCACGGAATGCCCCGCCGGATTTTGAGCCATGGCCTCTCGAGGCATGGAGATCTCCATCGAGATGGCGGGCTTCGGGCAGCACTTCGCCTGCCACTTGGACCTCGGGGCCTTGGAGCTGCAGCTCACCGCCATCCAGGGGGTCCTCCAGATCTTGGAGCACGCCAAGCGCGCGTCTTGGTCAAGTCAATTACGTCAGGCCCAATGTGGGTGGTTTGGGTCAAAAGTCAGGCCCATGTGGGTGGTTTTGGTTGAACTTTTTGTCACCACCAGGAATTGGACCGCAGGGTTTAGTCCATGTTTTCATTTACCAGGCTTCCATATTTGAGCCCCGCGCCCCTTGGTCAAGCAAGTCAGGCCTAAAACGCGCGGGGGGTCAAGGCGTACTGCACCAGCCTCCCCGCACCTTTTTGTCCGTTTTTTTTTTTTTGCTTGGTTCTTCTCGCGCAAAAAACGGGGGAGGGGATTTGTGTTTTTGTTGTTTGCCTCGCGTGAAAACTCGGGGGGGGGTGGCCATCTGGCCAGCTGCCAAAAAGGGGAGGGGGGCTGGGCAGCTCTTTTTAGGTGGCACAACTGTTTTTGCAACAACCTGGGGCCTTAAGTGGACCCAAAGACAAAAACCTGCGCAAGCCTGGCACTTTAACTGTGCGCCACCGCCATTTGGAGGCCTGAGCCATATTCAAGACCCGGGAAGACGAAGGTTGAGGGACTGTCACACTGGCCCAACCAGAATTAGGTGCGGCCGCCTCTACCGTGTTTTGCATTTGGTTGGGTAGACCATTCTGACAAAAGGCTTTGATTGCCTCATTTGAAGACAATCTGGCCTGAGAAGTGGGCCATGGCCAACTGAGAAGCTGAGGAGCTGAGAAGCTGGGGCGCGTCTCAATTTTTTGTGAGGGCCCCCCCAGTTTGGGGGTTCTGAAACAAAAAGGAAAGCCAAGTGATATGCCATTGTGGGGGGTTCCCTGTTGAGACGTTCAATTTGCCGATGTTTTGGCAAGCTCACCGATCCGGAAGCCACGATGAAGGTCATTTACATGTGGATCCAACTCTTTCCAAAGTATTGTAACGAATGCTGATCCAGTTAAGACTCTTTGACCCCTTTCATCTGCGCGTTGGATGCCCAAAAAAGCGAGGGTCCTCCGAAATTCAGCTCGGAAGAACCAATTGGGGATGTGGGTGGTTTTTCCAAGAGCCGTTGGGTTGCCCATGCAGTTGCTTCCTGGCTGTATCGGAGATTCCACCCTCATCTGCGCGAATCGGAATCTGCGTTTTTTCTTTTGTTTCAAAAACAAGGTAATACCAGTAGAGACTATGACAAGGAAATCTTGGGGGACTGGATGGAAACAGGTGAAGTGACGGACATGTGTTGTTTTCTTTGCGTGGGACAACTAGACGCTGCAGAGCATGGTATTTGGTGGGAGTGGCTGGGGTTTACACACAGCAAATGTCATGCTAGAAATGGGGTTGGGAGCCAGGAGCATGTCTTTTGTGTGGACTTGACGAAAAGGACACGAACCTGACCCCCCACCCCCCCCGAACCTGACCCTCCCGTTGAATCCTTTAATTGAAGCTGAGCGCCTTGGAACATGAAGACCTCTTGGGGCAGAAAGTGCTGCTCTTTCCATCAGTCACGTCTCATTCTGTATGGAATCCCCTTGATACACTACAAACCCCCGCTCTCGCACCCTTTCTGTGCGAAGATTGTCAGGACACAAGGCGACTACTGTTGACCCCATATAAATCCACCCCAATTGCTATTAGGGGGGGGGTGTCCAATTCTGGGTTTAGTGGTTGGAATCGGGCCGCTTTTGGAGTGGCCAAAACCACCCCACCCCCCCCAAACAAAAAATGTGGGTTGATTCACATGGCCATGATTTCCCCCCCCCCCCCAAAAAAAAAACACACACACACACACACAACTGGTTGATTGGTTAGCATGGCCATGAAAAAGGAAGAAAAGGAACCTGGACATTCTTGATGTCCGCCATTTCCGGTCCTTTTTTTTTTTGAGACGCGAGGCCTCCAGGCCTGGGGATCGCAAGTACTTCAAGAAGCAAATGAACGAGGCGGGATCGGATTTTTTTGGGGGGGAATGATTTTGGGGAGGTATGGCTCTTGCAACTTGTGGTTAATTAGCCATCCGGCTTTTGGAGGCTTTTAGCGGTTTTTAGTTGTTTTTGATTGGTTTGGTGGTTGGGTTTCCGAATTTCACATTCTAAAGGTTATGTACTTTTGGCAGGGGATCTGAAAACGGGCAGCCTAGCTGCAAGTTGTCAGGTGGAGCGTCTGCGGCAAGGAGCCTTTACTGACTCAATCCTGGAAGCCCCGCAAGAGATCGACGAGGAGCCATGCGCGTTGCGTTTGATGGATGCCACTGGTCTCAGTTTGGTTCCCTTTCCTTCTTGCTGGTTCAAGAGGGCAGGGAGTGAGAAATGGAGCCACCCCGATTTAAGCAACCCCCTACGTGTCTTTCAGGGAAAATGTAGGTTCATTCCCACCACCCGGAAGGTCATTCCCTGCCTATTTCACCATCAAGTCTTTTCCCCAGAAAAAAAGAAAAAAGAAAAACAAGCTGCGACCAGTTTCCCCGCGGGTTTTTGTCTCTTCCAAAGGGATATCCAGTGAATCCCACAGATCGCCTTAGGACCTCATGAAGATGGACAAACTCTTCGACGAGCTGCTGGCTCCCCTGCCGGACACAAAGCCGGCGTTGCCTCCGGCAGGCGCGCGGCGGCTGACAGATTCCCGGGATGGGTGTGGTGGTCAAAATAGGGCAACCCCAAAATGGGGTGCCCGATCGGTTTAAATGGAAGCAAGTTGACTACACCCTGCGGTCCAATTCCTGGTGGCCACTCATACTCGTATTGCGGCGCTGGTTGCGTGCTGGCGTGAGGGGCTTGGAGTTGAGCACCCAAAACACTTGTTTGACCATGCTGGCGAGCTTGACCTGCAGTCTACGCAGAGGCAAGCTACAGGAGGATACGTGTTCCAGCACCGGTAGTGTGGCTTGGCAAGCATGTGGCAAGGCAAAGGCCACAGCCACGCCAGGCAGCGCGTATGTTGACAAGCTTGTGTGAGGTGGCACGAAAAAAGCAGAGCAGAGGAGTTGAGGAAAGGCGCATTTGGAAGCTGATCAGCCCACTGGGAATTAAGCGCATTTGGCGTCCGTCATAGAAGTGTTTGACTTCAAATGAAACCAAAGACGCAGGATCGAGATACGGTTTCAGTGCTCAGGATCTCGTCTCCTGCTCCTCCAGCGAGCCCAGCGCAGATGGCGCGGTGAAAGATGTGGGGCATCGGAAAGGCGCTCGGGGTGGGGCGGGGGTGGGGGGCGGGGAGACTCAGGCACACGAGGCGTTCGATTATGTTCGCAAGCTGCAAATCGCTTCATTGCCCGATTTTCTGTCAGGAGAGAAGCCGCAAAGCCCGCAAAGCGAAGCTTGGCATGCACTGGACCCATTGGAGGTCATTGGAGAAGCTCTGGCTGTGTAAGTTTCACGCGCCTACAAACAAGCCAGCAGTCCGCAGTCCTCTCAGCATTGCTATGGCACATTGCAGCTATTGAGCGTAGCTACAGAGCAGATGGCAGAGCCACTGCGCAACACCAACTGCTGCACAGAGTTTGCAGACAAACCGTAGGTGTTGTCGGCACTTGGCCTTCATGCAAAGGCTTTGATATTGCGCTGTTATTGCATTTCTTCACTCAGCATGTGCAGCCTTCGAACGCCTTTTTCTATTGAGCAACTCGAGCAAGGGGTCACATCACGTAACATGACGGTGTTTCAAATCTAAGGGTGAGTACTGGTATTATAATGGTTCTATATATGTGTTTAATATATATATATATATATTATTAATGTATATCTAGGTATTGATAATAATGATATTCCAACAAACAAAGCGGAAGCCAATGGCTGGTGAGTGGAAGTGTTGAAAACTTGTCGCCTTCAAAGAGATGCAGTTGAAAAGCGAGGCAAGCCATTTGAACAAAATAGCGACGAGCTTGCATGGACATATGGCATTGGCTGCTTGTGGGGTGCCCGGTTTGGGTTGGTTTAAAGGCAAACCAAAGGGAAGCCGCAATTTTTAGGGTACGCTTATTTCAAGACCCTTTAGGCATTTAGCTTGCCTTGCCGGGTTTTGCATTGCAAGGATCTGATATCGCCGACTTTGAAGCCAGCTCTTCGTTCCTGGGCTCCTTCTTTCGCCAAATTCCGATGTGATTGGAGCCTTTTTCACAGAGGCGAGGTCCGAATGCACCAAGTGGCGCCGTGCCCGTGCCCCTCGGGCCATAGTCTGGCTGCCTTTGCATGACCTTTCAACATTTCAATGCCTGGGCTGTATGCAGCCCACAGGCCTCCCTCGAATGGTGTTCAGCAGTCCGAAGCAATGAGCTCTGAAAATGTGTCGCGAATCTTGACATGCGAATCGGAGACCTTGCTGAACACGACTGTACAGCTGGAAAAATCGTTTCAAGACGGTCACGACGTGTACTGCTTCGCTTGGAGCCCAGGGTCGCAAGCCTCCCCCGAGCGTGGGAACGCGGGGGGCCTTATCCGCATGCAAACCTGGTCCCAGTTCTGACTGTGCAGATGGTCCCTTCGCGAGAGAGCCAAGGGGCCATGAAATAAATTATGCCGTTGCGCTCAGCGAGCTCTTGCAGCCATGAAAAGCAAATGTTTAGCTACAGGGTTGTGGTTTATCTCCACGTCTGTGACCCAAAGGGAATCCCCCGGTATATTGGGGGGTTAGTCTTTGGGAAGCACTTTTTGTTGTACAGAAGTGCACAGCCCTGTTCAGCTACGTTGCAAATCTCAGCTGTGTTCGCGAGACCTTCGATCATTCCGATTCAAGAGTCGCACTTGGGCGCAGAGTTGGGACGCACCTCGATGGCAATGTGCTTGGGTGACTTTTTTGGCCGAATTCATTTGGGATCGGACACAGGGTCTGGGACCTCCCGAAATCAGCATTGGGCTGATCTGGGGTCACCCGCAACATCAGCGCTGCTCATCAGTAAACAGGTTCCAAACACGCGAACGTGCGGCAATGATGCCCCATCGACTCTTGGATTTGGTTCAATTACAGCTGCACGGACAGCACAGAGAGGTGTGCGGAAGTCGCAGCTTTAGATAGGTTTCCATTGGATTTTTTTTGGACCCAGAGTCCGGTTCAGCTCGAGGGCAGTAGCAAGCGCCTTGAGCTGCACGGTGCAGAAGTGCAGAAGTGCAGATGCCTCGTTTCGGGTATCAATTTTGTCCACAACCCCTTCCCTCATCCTCGAGTTGCCGATTTTTTGGCTGGCACCAAGTGGTGCAGATTGCCAGAGGCCTCGAGGAGTGAGGCTGGCAGGGGCCGAAATCTTGGCGACCTGCGGGTAGTGCACGTGCAATTTCCCAACGCGAAGCGCGTGGCACGCATGGCTGCAGTTCACAGTCGCGGACCCGGAAAGAGAAGGACCAGGTTATGCCAGGTTGCTGCGGTTGAAGGGGCAAATGTGAAATATGTGCTGTCTCTCTCTCTCTCTCTCTACCTCAATACAGCTTGTGCGCCATATTCATGGTTGCAGACAGGTGCCTTTCAATCCCAAAAGTACGTTTTTAGGCCAAGCCGGGGATCGAGGGCATTCCATGTTTCTTGTTTGAGCTGGAAAGATAAGGAGACCGGCGGGAAAAGTAAGCACACGGTGCTGACAACTCGATTGCCAATTGGGCTTGTCTCCAAAAGAACATCGGGGTGCGCCCCAAAAACATCTCGAAAATGATGGGTGTGCTTTTGGTTTCCCTTTAAACCAACCCCAAAACGGAGACCCAAGCAGAGATACGGCGGCTCAAATTGGATCAGAGGTCCGGCCCACAAGCTTTCCAGAGGTCCGGGGTGCGGCCGTTTTTTTGGGTACCTAATTTAAGGGAATAGTGGTTTTGAAGGAAACCAAAAGGACAACTACCATATTATTAATATGATTGTTATCATCATCATGATTATTATTATGGGGGGTCCAACCTTAAACCATAGTTGGCTTTGCAGGTTTGACGGCAAACCAGAAGAAACACGCCTATCTATGTATTTTTTGGGTGGGCCAACCTTAGGTTTTATGATCCCCAGGGGTTTTCTTCGAGCTGATGCGCTCGAGCGGGCCGATCGGCTGGCAGGCGCGGCTCGGCGACTTCTTCTCCTCTTTGACAGGCGCAGTGGCGCAGCGGCGGGTTTCGGGTTTCGGCGGTTGCGGTTGCGGTTTGGGGCGTTGCGGGCGAAAACGCGAATTTTGGGGCGTTTTGGTTTGGCGCGAGTCTTGGGGTGTGTCGTGTTTGTTTTGTTTTTTTGCGAGGGAGGACCCCCCAAAGGGGATGCCAACTCGAAGCAAATGACGCCGTTTTGGTGCCCTGAGATATTAACCGACGAAGCACTGTAGTATTGATTTTGGGGGATTGGAGATCCGTTTCCCTTGACTTCGGCCGAGGGCATGGAAACCCGCATAGAAAAGGCAGGAAAGAGAGGTGTCTGGCAGCCCTTCGGCCTAAGATTGCGAGGCTGCCAAGGATGATAGTTGTGCGGCGCCCAGTGGAATCGACCAGGCGTTCTGAGACCGGCCACTTCCCCCGGCCCTCAGACCGGCCACGGCCGGTTTGTGGGAGGGTACCACTTGTTTGTGGTTTTTAAAGGGAAATCAACAGGAAAACCACAAATCCCCCCGAACAAAAAGACACCCCCAGGTGTCTTTTTCAAGGACGTCCTCATGTTGGAGCCACATCGCGCGATGCCAGGCTCGAGTGATGTCCAGCGTCCTCTTTCCACGCTGCTCTTGGAAAAAGGGAGAGCTGGTCAGTTGCCCCGGCAGCGCAAAAATTTTGTGTGTCGCAAAGCTGCACTGTGCGATCGGCCAATCGCGAGCGTTTGCGGGGCCAGGTCCGCCGAAAACGGGTCAGGGGTGAAGCGCGCCAGCTTTGCTTGAGCGCATCCGCGAAGTTCGCTTCCTCGCGTCTGGCTCCGTGGCGAGCATCGGACCAGTCCGCCGTTTTTTTCGGCCAAGCGCCATGCCGAGAGGAGGGCACGGAGCGGCATTGCCCGAGCGGCCATCCTCGGTGTACTCGTTTTGCCACGTGCAGGACGCGATGACCTGAAGGCAGGGGGCGCCCTTTGCACTCACCTAATCACCTAAGCTGGAAGTTCGCTGCAGGGTGCCACTTTTGGCGAAGGGTCGAAGAAAACTGGCAAGATGAATGGCTCAACCGCAGGCAAAGCGGCCTTTCTGTTGCGCTAGCCTCGGTTTTGGGTTCAGCAGTTTTGGGCGAAGCTTTCCTAGGCTAGGGATTCGTGTTAGTGCACCGGACTACAGTGGCACAGTCCGGCGAAGGCCAAGCTGGGCAGAATTGGAGCCCGGTCTGCAGATGCTAAGGGTTGAGCACTGAACCGAGGCTTGGCCCTTCTGGCACTTGCCGGCCTGTTGGAGGTGAGAAGGGCTGGAGTTCTTCTCTGCTTTGCAAAGCCTGAAAAGACAGATCGACTCACAAGTTGCAAGGGAAATTCCAAGTTGCCAGCCTCTTAAAGAACATAGCCAAGCCCCAACAAAAAACACCTATCAAGCCTGCCCAACATAAACATGGACACTGTTTGCGGTTTTTAGTGTCATACTGTGCAGAACATGTTCCTTCCCGGCCCCGACCATCAAGTTTTCCTCTGAATGCTGCGACCAAGCCGCGCCACAAGCTCAGCTTCGCACGCCAGGATGCTGGCGACTTCGTAGGTGCTCCATGGCCTGTGTAAGTGAAGGAGTGTCGGATTTGTGGAGCTACTCGTAGCCCATCTCTCTCTTTTTTTCTTTCGGGGGGGGGGGGGGGGGCATATTTTTTTCCTCCGGGGTGGGGGGGGGGATTTTCAACGGGAAGCCACTGGACATGACTTGTTGGGAGTTGCCTCGAGTTTTCTCGGGGGTGGCTCAAAGGGAAGCCAAAGGGAAGCGGCTCATGTTGTTTGTTGTTTCCTTCTGGACGATGGCAAGCACAGGCCACTTTTCCGACCAACCGGCCAGCCAAACAAACAAAACGGTCAGAAAGCAAGAGGGCCAGAAAGAAAGAACAGAAAGCAACAAGAAAGCAAAGAAAAGAAAGTGAGGAAGCAAGGAAGGAAGGAAGGAAGACCGAAAGAACGACAGGTGAAGATTAAGAAGCACGCAAGCAAGCAAGCAAACATACTTGCCTCCTTTTAGTGCCCGTGGCAGCCATGCCAAATGCGAATCGTTCAAAGAGCAGTTGCAGCTGGCAAGACTTACCAGTACCAGTGCCTTGGAGATGCATAAGTCCGGTGAGCGTCCTCAAAACCCGGGCCTAGTGGGAGGGCAGGGGACAATCCCCATGGGTGCGGATCTCCGGTTCAGTTTGTTTACATGGTTCTGGGCCACCATTTCAATACCAGGTTTTGATGATTGACTCAGGTGGCAAGCTTCAAGGTTGAGCTCATCGAGCGTTTCAGGCGCCCGACTTGGCTGTTTGAAACCAGAGCCATGGAACGAAGGCGCCGAACAGAGAAGCCAGCCCTTATGGGTGGACACCCCATGGGTGGTTGTCCTTTTGGTTTCGCTGCAAAGCCACAAACCAAGAGTACCCTCAAAACAGGAGAGACCCGCATTGAGGATCCGCACATGCCCGGGCCTCGATTGCAGCGCGCTGGAACCAGCCAAGAGTAGGCCAGGTCCCTTCTCAATATCCAGCAGTCGGGTGAACGTAGATTCAGATAGCATTCAAAATGTCCAGCAGTCTACGGTCGAGTTTTTGGAGAAAGAAGGAACCTGCATCAAAAACCTGGGTCCGGGCTCGCTCATTTTTCCACCTGGCTGTGGGTCAAAACCAATGGTACCATTTGAGGGTAAGTGCACCACCCATTTTAGTCTATAGTGGGGATTGGGATGTTTTTTGTGTTGCTGTTTTTTTTTTTTTTTTTTTTTTTTTTTCTGGGGGTACGGGATTTTGGCTTTTGACCCATGGCCACCTCAATACGAAAACTCGGACTCCCCAAGTGGCGCAGAGTGAGCCATCGCCCACCCGGTGGCACCCAGGGCGACGCGTTGCGCTGGCAGCACGCCCTTCAGCTTGCCCAGGCGGAGGCGTTGGACGGCTTTGGACGAGTTTTGACCGAGGTGGGCGCGTTGTTAAAATTGGGAAACCCAGCAAGTGGTGATGTTTGTTTGTTTGCTTGCTTGCTTGCTTGCTTGCTTGCTTGTTTGTTTGTTTGTTTGTTGGTTGGTTTCACTTTTTAACAACCTGAAAATGGGACCCTCCAAGAACGCACACCGATATCAAGTTGTCTTTCTGTTCTCGAGCATGACCCGTCGTCGTTTGTGTGTGTGTGTGTCCTTCGGCACTCTCATTATCAAGTGTCAGAGTCGGACGTTCTTTTTGCATGCGTGTTTGTTTGGCTCGGCTTGCAGCGTTTGTAAGCAAGAGTGCGTGGGCTCGTTCATGACGATCATCGAAGTTGCCCGATTGCTTGCAGTGGACGGCATGTTCAGGTGTCAGGGCAAAAAACGAGAAGCGTTGTTTCTCTCGCACAGCCAGAGGCATAGTATGTGCACGCGAATGTTGCGGACTTCGGGGGATGAAATAGCATGGGGTTCGGTTTGATGATGGTGGAGGTACTGGCGCGTGAACACATTGACATGTATGGTCCAGTGCCTCAGCTTGGTTGGGCAACCATCGCTGGCTTCCAATTCATTAGTTTATGCAGATCTCGTTCAAAGCCCTATGGTTGCTGGCCTGCATCACCCCCTATTCTTCCATCATACACTTGTCTTGGCGGCTCCCAGCCATCCGGTTCCTTGGGTTTTTGTTAGGGTTTAGTGGTATTTTCCATTTAACCCACAGGTTGAACTTGTTAACCACCCAGTTGTGGATAGTCCCTGTCCCCCTGTCTCCTTGCCTCCGCTGAGTTGCAAAGAAAAACGCAAGACGCCAGGGCTCAGATGTGGTGCAGCACACGCAAGCGCTCAGTGCCGTCGGGCGAGGCCCAGGTTTACGCGATCGCGCCGGCGCGGTTGTGTGTTTCAGCCTCCCTCTAATTGGTGGTTTGGAGCCCGGTGGTTTGGTGGTGTTCTCCATGTACCTCTGCAAGAACTAGGGCTTCAACCCCCAAACCATCAATCCAAACCACCAATTAAAGGGTAGCTGAGCTTTTGCATCCTTCAGTGCAATTTGCATGACTCAATGGCGCAGTATGCGTGCGAGGCTTCAGTTCAGAAAAATGTGAGGCTCTCCCACATACAGGCTTCTCAAAGGGGGTCTTGCCATGGACCGCTCCGGGGTGGCCTCTGCGGCCAAGCCGCTTCTGCCGAAATCTGCCAAGGGTGGAAAGGCCTTGCCGCAGGACAAAGGATGGACTTCCTTCAGCGAAGGCGCGGCGGGGGCGTCGCTGGCATTGCTGGTGTCAGCAGCCATTGGCACAGGTGGGTGTCTCAAAATTGGAATCGGACCCCCTAAAAGCAGCTTCGGCTTGCCTGGTGGTTTTCCTTTAGCGCCCCAAAAAAGGCGAGTACCCTTTGCCTTAAAAAAATATCCACCGCCTGAGGTGTGCTTGCGCTGCCCTACGGCGTGAGCCGTGTGGGAGTTCTGCCTTCGATCGGGCTTTTCGCAGTGGCGGGGGCGGCCACCTACGCCTCGAACACCATCTTATTCGATTGCGTTTCGGAGACCGGACATGGCTCCTATGGGCAGTTGATGTCTGACATCTTGGGGAAGTATGGGGCAATGGTGTTGGACATCTTTGTTTTTGTGGAGGGCTTGGGCGCTGTGGCCACGTACCTGGTCTTCATCATGGACTACGTGCCTCAGGTGTGCCAGCTCTGGGGGGATGACTACTGGTGCACTGACCAGATGAATGTCGCCTGGGCGGCCACTGCCATCATTTGGCCTTTGAGCTGCCTCAAGGGCCTCTCCGCTTTGCGCTACACCTCCACCTGCAGCATCGGCACCATCATCCTCACCTCCCTGGTGGTGATCTTCAAGGCGCCCAGCCACTTCAGCAGCAAAGGCCTGTCGCTGAGTCATGTCATCGCGGAAAGCCACTGGAACAAGTCCAGCTTCCAGGCTTGGCCCCTGCTCCTTTTTGAAGACAAAAGCGGAGGTTGGAACGATAACTTGCTGATAGGCCGGGAATGAGAAATGGAATGACCCCTACAAACCATCCCTTGTAGTTTCCTTTAAGGGGATCCCTTGCGTTCATTCCCAACCCACTGTTGATTCCCTGCTGAGAACCAGCAAGAACATGTTTCAGCAGGTGGTTACTGGTTGGCAACCAAGCCAGAGGTGCTATCCATGGCTTGCTTCGCCTTCATGACTCACACGAACTCCCCGGAGATCGCGCTGCGCTTCAGCGGCGGCGCCGCGAGCGCCCGGAAGGTGCTGTCGGCGCAGACCATACTTCTTTGGTTCGTGTACTGTGCTATCGCGGTGTGTGGATATATGTCCTTCCTGGACAGCACCAAGCAGGACTTCCTCACGAACTACGACCTGCAGGACAAGCTCATTGTGCTGTGCAGGTGTCTCCTCTCTACCACTCTGGTGTTTGCCTGCCCCATCAACATGTTCCCCGCCGTTCAGGCCTTGTTCAACGTACTGGAGTCCCTCAGGGGCAAGCAACCAGACGCAGAGAGGCTCTATGACATGCACCAGGTGCGCGTGGCGGTAACCACCTTGGCCTTCGCCCTGACCTTGGGCGTGGCTTTGAAGTCGCCGCATGTGGCCGACCTGATCTCCAGCATCAGCGCCTACTTCTCCTCCCCGCTGATGTTCGCCTTCCCGGCGGTGATGCATTGGAAGATCCTGCGGCGCCAGACCATGGCGCTGCCGCTGGGCCTCCTGGCCATTACCGCGGCACTCTGGCTCGCTGAGCTCTCCTCAGCGCTCTTCTGAGCGAGCCGGTTCGGCTTGCCGCTGATGGGTCTGGCCTTTCCTTGGGAGGTAGGGTACCCCGTTTTGGGGTTAAAAGGAAAATCAAAGGAAAAATCAAAGGGAAAACCGACCGTTTGGGGGGGTCACCTATAAGAAAGACACATCCATATGGCACAATTCTAGAGTCGGCAAGTCCATCGATTCAACGTCGGGAGAGAGCGGAGAGGAGTGAAGCAAGCTTGATCCCGTAGCGCGAGAAAAGGTCAGCTTGGGCTTTCGAGTCATGTCCCCCTCATCCCTACAGCACTGCATGTGCCATGGTCATTTATTTCCCTTTTTGGCTGTTTCAAACATCACCTTTTTGCCCATGAAAGGTGAGTGTCCCTTGGCGGGGCTGACGTTTTTTAAGGGGAAATATGGGGAGCCCTGCTTAGGGCTAGGAGGGCTGGTCATCCACTTTAGGGATTTGTTCGAAAAACCACCAGTTTTTGCCAGGCCGCCAGTGGCGCATGGCGGCCGTCAGCTGCCCAGACAGCTCTGGGCCCTTGGCCCCGAAAAAGTTTCCGCAAGAGAGAGGCCCAAAATCTCCTGGTTGCCGGCCGTGCGAGTCCGTTGAAAAGAGGAAGCTGGGCGATTCTTGGCCAAGGAGCTTCTGCTGCGAATGCCGCATGCGCGGATCCAGCCGACAGTGGCTTGGCATGCAGCTCCCGGCAGCACTAGCTTGGCGTTGCCTCCCTTCCTAACACCCAAACAACGAGCTGCTAGGACGAGGATTCCGCTCTGCGGGCAGACCTGTCGGCTTGCTTTTGCATCTTGCAAACGAGATGTGTGCAGCTGGCCACCAAATTTGTTGGCTTTCCGACCGCCCAATCCAAGAAACCTTTCGCACCCGCGAGAAGCGCGTCATGTCAACTTCGAGGTTGTGACCTACAATGCGATGATCAGCACCTGCGCGCTTGCTGCGTGCTGGGAGCAGGCCGGGGCCCCAAAGCCTTTGAGAGGTTGTTAGTAGCTAGGGTGGTTTGGAGCCCGGTTTGGGGGTGCTCCGGGGTGGTCTCCGATTTACAGCTATAAGAACCAAGGGTTCAACTCCACATCCAAACCACCAATTCAAGGGCACCTGAATGGACCAGAACATGAGTGCTCACCCAAAAGCTCTCACATGCTCTCACGAAAGCCAGTTTCCTCATGACAAGCTGGGGAGAAGGATATGGGTGTGTCTCAAAATAGGGACCTTGGTTTCCGTTTCCAGCCACCTTCAAAAAGGGAACCCTCCAAAAGCGCCACACCCATATTGTCCTTGGCCAAGACGGGGTGTCACCATATTTATTTTTTGTTGTTTTTTCCCCAAATAGTGTTTACACTAAGGGGTTCTTACGGTAAGAGTTAAGGCCTGGTGTAGATCGAGGTGTCGGCTCAAATTGCTGGCCCTGTGCGTAAAAAGTTGTCTTCGATGCGACAGTCTCGCACGAAATGGAGGTGCGGACCTTTGCGTGCGTCTCGCTGTGGTGCCGTTCGCACTTTTCAGCTTTTGCTTGCAGGGGCAACAGTTGGGAGGTACGCGCTAGAAGCCTCGTGCCAAACGCGCTTTTTTGAAGCAAAATGCATTTTTTGCTGGCAGGGGCTTGTCACACGGAGGTTTGCGCTGCGACGCGGGGTGTGTTTTTAGAGGAAGCCTCGTGCCAAACGCGTTTTTTTGAGACCAAAGTGCATTTTTTTGATGGCAGGGCCGGCACGCGGTGATAGCTTCTTGTCGGATCAGGCTACCACGCTTGGACAACGCTGCGTGTCGAAGCGCTCTCGCTGTGGCGCCGCGCGAATGCGTCTTGCTCTCGGCGAACCCTTTGCGGAGATCCTGTGGCGCCGTTCGGTTTTTCTGTTTTTTTGCTTGCGAAGCGGTGTTTGGAAGTTGTCTCGTGGTTTGCACCTCTGCTTTCACGCTCGTGCGCTGTCTCGGGTTCCACCTGCTTGGCCCACGGCGGCTCCGGCTTGAAAACGGCAACTTTTAATTACGAAAGTAGTACGCGAAGAGCATTCCCAGGGCCCCACCGAGCCGCTTCATGTGAAAAAAGACGGACAGCTGCGCCAAGTACTGCGCAAGAGTATGATCTCCCTTGGCTTCTGTTGAGACTGAAGTGCCTTCCCAAGATGTTTTGTTTTATGTTGGTTTCTTGCTGCATCGCGCTACTATTTGGGGGCTCTTGCCGGGATAATTTGTTTTGGTTTCGCGAGTGTCATACATTACCTTAGCCAACTTAATGTGAGTTTCCTTTTGTGATCTTTAAGGGCCCCAAAGGGGTTGCTTCTTTTAAAGGCACCCCATGTGTCCGAATCCCATTTTGACAAACCAAAAATATGGATTTCGGACCCCTTTGGGTTTTAAAAGGGAAACCCAAACTCATAGACCCCCCAGGGGGGATAGGGTGAGCGGGGGCTATGACTTCTTAGTCCCTTAATAAGGCCTTATTAAGTTGGCTTATCCTAGGCTTATCCTGGGCTTATTCAGGGATACCCCTGGGGGTCCATTAAAAAATAAGCACACATTGTTGTTGCTTTGTTTCAGATCAGAAGCGTCACATGCATGGTTGTCTTCTTTCTTTCTTTTGTAAAAGACCGAATTGGGTGTTCATAAAGACCCAAAGCCATGTTGGCATCCCCCTGCTTTACGAACGCAACCCGCGCAATCTGCGGGGCATCGAGAGTCAAGTCTGATCGAGGCTGTGGGCTGGTTCGCGAAGCTCCAAACTGCTGCCCTTGAGCCCACTGCTGGGCGCTCGGCAATGGGTGCTTTGGGGAAAATGGGAAAAGTCATGTGTATATATATATATATACACAATATATACATATACATATGTACTTGTTTATGTGTTTATTTGTACCAATTCTAGTTGAATGTTGTTGTTTCTTTAGGAGATGCATAGTATGTGTTTGCATGTATGTGTGTATGTGTATATATATATATATAGCTTAGGTGGTTTGGTTTACATACGCATCTGTATGTATAGCTTGTGCCCAAAGGGCCATTGGAGTGGGTAGTTCTACTTCTTGGTTTCATGAGCATCCCCAGTCAATAGGTTTTGGGTGACAATGAAAGCCTGGGTAAGCAAAGGTTAAGAGACAATCCCCTTGCCATCAATATGCACATGTCCACCTTTTCTGTTTACGTGGTTCTGGGTAGACCTTTTCTTTATACCAGGCTTTCATGTTTAAGGACCCTCTAAAATACCTGATGGGCAGAACTCCCACATAATGTCCATCAAACGCATTCTATTAAACGGCGGACGGGCATGCTGCGATAGGCATGGTCAAATCACGACAATCAATGAGCAATCCATCAGAATTCCCAGCTGGGACATGGCCCGAAGTTCCGGTGCCAGCTCAGGTGGTCACCTACAACAGCCTTAGCAACGCATGCGGTGCTGGCAAGATGTGGGTCAAGGCACGGAACACGACTATTGACAGGCTTGAATTTGCATGGCCTGTAAAACCCACTGTAGACAGAAGGCATCTAGATCTCGTGTCGTGGGAAGCAATCAATCCTTGTGCATCGAGACATCCCCTCGTTCTCACACCTTGGCATTTCGCGGCAACCGGCCAGGCGCTGTCCCTCTGGCGTCAGATGCGGAGTGAGGCGCGAGATGGCGCGCGCGCGCGCGACTGCTTAGCCGGTTACCGGAGCCGAGAGTTTGTTGCTTCGACAGGGAATACAGCCGACGGCGGTGACCATTAGCAGCCTTGGTCAGCATTTGCGAACCAAAGGACCGGGCTCAAACACGCCGCCCAAAGAATGCGGGCTCGCGAGCGATGTTTTTTGAGGAGCCCTGCGGCTGCTATCACTTTGCAGAGATGTGGAGGTGCAGTTCAGCCCCCAGCGTGTGGAATGTCAACCCCTGATTAAATTGGGTGTTTCTTAAAGTAGGGGTGACCGTTTTGGCTAGTTTGAACAGGAAACCCAAGGAACACCAACCGCCGGAAGGAATCGATCGTTAATTTTCAGAAACTCCCATATCCCCAGAGATTGTTATGGGAGTCCAAATTTTGCGAAGACTGGCTCATTCAGGGGTCAACAGCGTGATGTCGAATCCTAAACTTCACACGGCTTCCTTGCGTACAGCTTGTCACAACTTGAGCTTCCAGCACAAATCATTGTGCTGGTTCAGGGAATGAGGGAATGCCCCCCATAAACCATCCCTTGTGGTTTCCCTCAACGGCTCATCCCCAAAACCGGCTCATCCCCAACATCCGGACTCTGTCATTTACCTATCGCACCGGCAAGTTGCAAGCCGCCTCGAACTTCCGACGGCCCAGGCCCGATCTGGTGCTTTGCAACACCCTTCTTGGCGCCTGTGAGCGGATGCTGCGGTGGCAACAAGCGCTACTGGTACTGCAGGACGGAGAGGGCAAAGAGGTTGGGATAGGAGTCACTGGAAGCGGGGTGGGCGACTCCTTCCCTTGTTGAAGCTTGTTGAACCGCTTTTGTCCTTTTTGGCTCTCCTTTCAGGGGCGGGAAGGTCCGGTTGTCTATGCGCATGTTTGCCCAACCCTGCCAGAAGAATTCACTCTCGCACCTCTCAAACTAGCGATGGGTTTGCCTGAAAACTGGGATTCCCCAAAAATGGCTTCGTTTTTTTTGTGAGTCCCTTTAAAGCCCACCCCAAAGTGGGTACCAACTCCAAGAAAAGACGCGCAGAAGTCACATGAGAAGCTGCCAGGAGATGCCTTCAAGGAGTTCAATTTGGCCAGATGAGGCCTGAAGCTGCTTGACTTTGGCGCGTTCCATATGGATTTGTCTTTTTGAAGGTTGGTACTACGGTACCCCCCAAAATGGCGCAACGACATTTGGTTTCCCTTTAAAGCCCACCCCAAAATGGGTACTGACCCAAAACACGACTGAACCATATCCAAGAACATGCACAAGGGCCCTCGCAAAGGACTGCCGGTCGACGCCAATGACTTGCTTGAGGGCTATGTTCCAGGATAACTCCCAGGGTTTCTCAAAATCGGGACCTCCATTGAGACACCCGGGCAGATCAAGCATAGTACGGGAGAGTCCCAACCATAGCATGCGCTCAGCACCAATTTAGATGGGTTTAGGTCATTTCCCACCAAAAAATCCATCTATCGAGAGGACACCTATGGTCCCAACCCCAGCGGCCCTTGGGGTGGCCTCCACTGAGACTCTGCCGGCAAGCCGCTGGCAATTTTGGTAGGTGTCCTATAACACGACCATCAACGCCCTGGAGCTGAGCAACTCCTGGCCTCTGGCTGTAGCCTGGCCTCGTGTTTTGGGCGGACCGATCAGAGAACGGTTTGAACCAGGAGCGGTCAAGAAGCGCGATGGCGCTGGTGTCTTCGTGTGTTTCTGCGAGTGTCCGCGTGTGTGTTTGCTCGGTTTGGTTCAGTTTGGTTCTGTCGTTGTTTGGTTGATTGGTTGGTCGGTCGGTCGGCTGGTGTTTGTTTGTTTGGTTGCTTGCTTGTTTCTTTATTTGTTTGTTTGTATTCGTGTTTTTATTTTGTCTGCCTATGTCAACTGGCTCGTACTGATCTCAGGTGAGTCTTTTGCAGCAGCTGCGGCTGCAGCTTCTCCAGCCCAGCTGCTTGGCGCTGAAGCTGCAAACTGTCCCCATCTCAACTTGGGCAACTGATGGGGAAGCTGAGCTTTGCAGCACTTGGTCCAGTCAGCTTCCGATTGGCCAAAGTCTGGCATGCATCAAGCCCCATCTAGTGAATGCCGTTGCCGTGTTGCCGCCAAGCGCCGTGAGCGGAGGCATCGTCACCTACAACACGACCATGGGCACCTGTGAGAAGAGTGGCTCTTGGGAGCGGACTGCTTGCGCGTGTGAGACGGTTAGTCTGCACTCTTGTGGCGCAGACGATGCCCTCGGTTTTGGACGCGTCAGACCGCGTTGAATCCTCACATCTGGGGTCATCGCAATGAGGATATGCAAGATGCAGCCCGACAGGACCCTTAGCCTCTGGCAAGAACTGCATCAAGACGGCCTGATCCCAAGCCAGGCGATCTAGAGTGGGAGACCTGTTGTTTGGCTATGCTGTCAGAGTTCATGATATGGGTGTGCCTTTTTGTTGGGGGAACCGCCCCAACAAAAAACGTAAATAAATGGTGGTGTTCCTTTGGGTGTCCCTGTAAAACCGCAAACGAAAAAGATACTTTCCAAAAAGGACCCCCATATGAGTCAAAGATTGCCAATCGTGGGTGAGGCACTTTGTACAGGGATGCTTTCCTTTCCGAGCAGCGACAAGGGCGTGTTGGTGGGGGGGGGGGACTGCTGGCGCTCCCTGATTGTTCGGTTTCCCTTTGCCCTTTAAACCACCAACAAGGGTAGCCTCAAAACAGACCCCTGCATCATCCTGTAAGAATCTGTAAGATTTTATTTGGATAGTGTGTGGGGGGGGCACCCTGACGCAGGTCACTGGAGACATCATCGTGCGCCATGGCATTGCCAAACTTGACTCACTGTGTTGCCCTTTGTTCCCTTGTCGGCAAAGCGGCAAAGCGTTGACTTCAGGGGGTCTAAGTGCAACCAAGGGAGCAATTGAGCCACTGTTTTGCTGAGACATGGTTGCGCTGAAGGAGCCATGGAGAAGTTAGAGAACAATTGTAAAGGTTCCTATTCACGGAAGGGCTGACAGGAGTTTGACCATGTGAGTGCTGGGGTTGGGTTCTTTTGTCTGTTCCTGGCCGTTCTGTAATTACTCTGTTGTCAAATACAAGCCCAATTCAATGCAAGTGGGGGGTGTTTTCTGTGGGTGTTCAAAGGAATCCAAACTGCAACCGCTTTCCCTGTGTTGGGGTCCCCTAGTTTGAGACAAGCCCCAAGATTGAAGAAAGCAATGCCCCAAGTGTGACAACAACAACAAAAACACGAAACATGCCCCAAGATTGAAAAACAACAATGCACCAAGTTCGAGGAAAAAGAACATTAAAAATAAAAATAAAACAAATAAAATCGCCATGCAACTCCCCTCAGCTTCGTTGCCACGAAGTCCCCAAAAAGAACTTCACCCAAGGACCGCCTGCGGCTCTTCCGGGAAGTGGATGGCAGCCTTAGGTTTGGCAGCCTCGAGGCGGGGCAAGGAGAGAAGTCCACCAAGTCCTTTAAAGTGGTTGCATTTTGAGGGGTTCTCAACTTGCCATCCGGTTCCTTAGCTTGTTTTTGAAGGTGTTTAGGGGTTATTGGTAGTCTCCGAATTTTACCCTCCAAAGTTAAACTTTTAGCAGGGGATCTGAAGGTATGGGTCAAAGTGAGTCACACCAGCATATGGACCGCAGGTGTTAGTCAACTTGTTTCCAAGGGCAACCCATTTTGGGGTTACCCGATTTTTGACCCACAGCCAAACGGTATTCTATGTTGTTGGTTTTTTGTGTGTGTTTTTTGTGTGTTTTGTGTTTGTGGCTTTGTTTTCCAAGCCACGATTTAGAGGGGATGTTTTTCAGGATGTCATTTTCAGCTGAGGTCTGAGGGCTTGCAAAAGTAGGGGCCTGGGCCCACGGCGTTGAACGAATCGCCCAGCCTCGGTTCGGCGAGCTGTTGGACCAGCCGCAAGTCTTGGGTTCGATCCTGGCATTAAAAACGTCGACCTGTAACCATGTGAGGCCGGGGTTCAAATCCCCAAAATTGAGGGGTTGCAAGAATCCTTGCGTGAGGACTGATAGTCAGGAGCATGGAGACGAAACTCAGGCAATTGGTCGGCAATTGGTCGCGTTAGCAGAACATGTATATAAACATGTCATCCGAGGTGTTGCGATGGAACCCATGTCAGTTGTATCATTTCGGGTTTCTCCGGTAAAAGAAGCACACATCGGACTGTTCAGATCGTCTCTTGATTGTTCAGAAAAGTCATGTCACACTGTTGGTCATGGTCGCGGTGGATCCCCTGTGTCTGACACCAGTCTTGACAAACCCGCCGAGACTGCGACGCCTGCTCGGCGTCGCATGGATGTTCCAAAGTGAACCAGTTGATTCAACTCCGTTAAGTCCAGTAACTAGTAACCCCCAAATGGTGGGTGGACAAATCCTAGGTGTGAATGATCCACAGGATTCCTCACAGGGGCACGGGCTTGAGGCCGCTGGGCCTCGCGGGCCTCGCAGCGGCATGGCGCTGCTGCGGGGCTCTCAGCCACGCAGCTACCGGAAGTGGCACGTGTCAGTATAAGCGGACCCCCCAAAGCTGGTCCCTTCACTAAAACCAAGGTGAGAACGGTACCCTCCAACAAAAGCACACATCGCAATAGAGCTGGAAGGACTCGAACCTCCGACCAGTGCGCTGACATGCGCCACACTGATTGACTGACTGACTGACTGACTGATTGACTGACTGACTGACTGACTGATTGACTGACTGATTGACTGACTGACTGACTGATTGATTGATTGATTGATTGATTGATGGATTGATGGATTGAATGAGTGAGTGAGTGAGTGAGTGATTTGATTTGATTTGAATTGGTTTGATTGGTTTGGGTTTTGTTGATGTTGCTTGATTTCATTTCATTGACTTGATTTGATTGATTTGATTGGATGTGATTTGATTTGATTTGGTTGGTGGGTTGATTTGCTTGCTTGCTTTATGAAAAGAAAGTTTCTTTAAAACAATAACAAAACCGAAACACTAAACGCCCTAAACTTATCCCCTAAAAGCCCTAAACCCTGAAACCTTTATACCCTAAAACCCCAAAACCTAAACCCGAAAAACCCGAATCCCTAAACCCAAAAACCCAAAAACCCAAAAACCCAAAAACCTAAGCCCTAAAAACCCGAAGCCTACACCCTGAAACCCGAAACCAAAACCTTCAAAACCCTTAAAACCTTTAAACTCTAAACCCTAAGCCCGACAACTCTAAACCCTTAAAAAACAGAATCCGCAAAAACCGGAAACATAGCCCTAAAAAACCCCTAAACCTTAAAAACCCTAAACCCTAAACTTCTACCATAGAAGCCCGAAACCTAAACCCTAAAAAACCAAAACCTAACCCCTAACACCCGTAAACCCTAAGCACTCTATACCCTAAAACCCTCCCGAACCTTAAACCCTAAAAACCAAAAAACCCACACCCTAAAAACCCGAATCCCTGAACCCTAAAACACCCTAAGCCCGAAACCTCAACCCGAAAATCCCTAAGCCGTAAACCATTCCCAAACCAACTCGAAATCTAAACCCCAAATGCCCTAAACCTTTAACCTTTATTCCCTAAAAGCCCTCAACCCCAAACAAAAAAACACACACGAAACCTAAACTCTAAAAACCCTACACCTAAGGCCTAACAACCCTAAACCATAAAACCTTTATACCCTGAAAACCCTAAACTTAAACCCTCAAACCAACGAAACCTAAACTCTAAAAACCCTTCACTTAAGCCCTAACAACCCTAAACCATAAAACCTTCATACCCTGAAAACCCTAAACTTAAACCCTCAAAACCTAAACCGCGGAAACCCTAAACCCTAAAAAACCCGAATCTTAAACCCTAAAACCCAAAACCTTAACCTCTTGGCCCTCAACCCTAAGAACTCTAAACCCTAGAAACCCACCTAAACACCCGAAACCCTGCACCCTCAACCCGAAACCTAAACCCGAGAAAACCTAAACCCTAAAAATCCTAAAAAACTTAAACCTGAACCCTAAAACCCTAAACCCGAACCTAAACCCTACAAACCCGACACCTAAAACCTTGAAACCCAAAGTCCTAAAAACCCTAACAACCGTAAACCCTCAAAACTCGAAACCTAAAAAGCCTAAATGCAAACCCTAAAAGCCCTGAACCTAAACCCAAAGAGCACTAAAATTCCTCAACCCTAAACTTACTCAATTCTCACGAGTCCAACCTGGGTTTTGACCATCGTTCTTTGGCAATGTTGATAAACGTGGAAATTCCGGCTCATTTGACTTGTGAGAAATGAGTGAAATGAGTGTGCTTGTGAGAATTGAGGAGAAACACGAGTGAGAATTAAGGGCTTCGCCCTTGCGTTCTTGCTTGTTGCTTTCTTGCGTGCTTGCGTGCTTTGGTGTTGTCTTGTGTGATGTCTTGTGTGTTTGCTTGCTGCTTGTTTGTTTGCTTGTTTGCAATTCGGCTTGTTTTCTTGTTTGTTCGTTCGTTTGTTTGCTTTGCTTGTTTTGTTGTTTTTTGTTTGTTTGCTGGTCTGCTTGCTTGTTTGCTTGCTTGTTGGTTTTGTTTGTTTGATTGTTTTTGGTTGTTCGGCTACTCGTGTTTTTGCTTGTGTGTGTGTGTGTTTGTGTGTGTGTGTGGATGGGTGTGTGGGTGTGGGCAGGTGCGTGCGTGCGCGTTCGGTTGTGTGCTTGCACGTTTGTTGTTTGGTGTGTGTGTGTGTGTGTGCGTGTGTTTGTTATGTGTTTGTGTTTTTGTGTGTCTGTTTGTTTTTTTGTTGCAGCTACGCTCCTGGAAGAGTACTCTCTTCGATCCTCCAGTTACCTTTGCTTGCTTGATTGGACGGCGGCATACAACCACACGGATTCCGCCAGCGCCAAAATTCTCTTGGGCGCCCTGTATTGGCCCAAGGGTTTTTTACCGCTCTCCTTGCCAAAATCTCGCAACATGAAAGGCGGATTTTCTGGCTGTTTGTGTGTCTGTGTCTGTCTGGATCTGTCTATGTTTGTTTGTGTCTGTTTGCGTCTGTGTCTGTGTCTGTGTCTGTGTCTGTCTGTGTCTGTGTCTGTACCTGTTTGTTTGTTTGTTTGTTTGTTTGTTTATTTATTTATTTATTTGTTTGTGTGTGTGTGTGTTTGTGTATTTGTGTGCTTGCTTGCTTTCGCGCTCGCTCGGTGTGTAGGTTGGTAGGTGGGTAGACTGGTAGGTTGGTAGGTTGGTAGGTTGGTTGGTTGGTTGTTGGTTGTTGGTTGTTGGTTGTTGGTTGTTGGTTGTTGGTTGTTGGTTGTGCTTGTGGATTGTGTTTGTTTGTTTGTTTGTTTGTTTGTTTGTTTGTTTGTTTGTTTGTTTGTTTGTTTGTTTGTTTATTCCCTCCCGTCTGTCTGTCTGCCTGCCAGTCTGCTCGTCTTTTTGCTTATTCTTTGTCTGTTTCTTGATTTGTATGTGTGCGTGATGTGTGTGTGGTTGTGCGCGTTGTGTATATGTGTGTGAGGAGCATACCATTTCCATGCCCTGTCGCCTTTCCATGATCGAAGCCACCAAAAACCACGGCAAGCGTCAAGAGCAGGAGCTAGTCGAGTACTTTTGGGGGTACACGTGGAGAAGTGTGGCCTAATTCCCTACTGGGCCCTCGCCAGGGGGCCCGGAGCCCATAAAGCACCGCGTGGGAAGTGCCCTTTGGTGGTTGACGCAAGCGCTGGATCTCCGTGAGTTGACCAGCAGAGTGTGTGTGTTTGTGTTTGTTGAGGGTACCCGTTTCAGGGTTGAAAGGAACACCAAAAAGAAACCTCGCTGGGGATTGTTTGGTCCTTGACCCGCTAGGTGAGAGCGCACATGTGCCGCCGCGGCTCCAGGCAGCTCTGCGACGCAAGGCCGAGCGATGCACCCCCGATGCCGAAGTCGGTTGGATTGGCGGTTGACTCGACCTGGGCGGGTCTGATTTTAGGGGGCCCCCAAAATGGCGTCGGTGTTTGTTGGTGTCCCCTTGAAAACCACATGAAGAAGGTACCTTTAGAAAAAGACACGCCCACCTTTTGAAAAGGACGTCGCGTTGTGCATCAAGCTCATGATTTTTGGTCTTGGAGCGCTGACAATGGCATCGAAGTTGTGTTAAGGGGCTCCCTAGTGACAGAGTTCGAGTTCCCTTTGCATAAGGGTTTGTCTCAGATGGCCACTCGTTCGGGTTCTCGAATATTGGTTCGCGTTGAGATGGAGAGAGGGTTTCGTCACACCTTGGGCTAGGTGACCGCCAGCCTCGGCCATGGGTCGGTTTGGCGCAACAGCACCATCGCAGAGTTGCTGCAGGCAACGGTGTCTTGGAGGCATTCGGAGCTTAAGAGATGTGTCAACTGGAGCAAAGCAACCAACCACGTTGTCTGGTGTGGAACCATGCACTCGTTGCTGGAACATGTCGACTCCGAAAGATGAAAGATTGCCCCTTGGAAGAGGACGGCTATTGGGGTGACTGGAAAATCGGCTGAGTCAAGGGCTTAAGGAGTGAAAAGCCGTTCATGTTTTTTGTTTCATCTCAGGTCCTGGGCCGGCGCTTTCTTTGGAAGGTCTGCCGGGACCCCGCGCGAGTCGAAGACACCGTGGTGCCTGGCGCCGCCGCGCGCGGCGCGGTGCCGGCGCCAGCGTTGCCGGAGCTGCCCGGGGATTCGAAGAAGGTGAATGAGGCATTGCCAGGCCCGGAACTTTGGTCCATGGAGCGCCATTTGGGTGTGGCTCAAAATTAGACAGGAGGGGCAAACCGCAGGTGTTGGGCCATTCCACTTACCAGGGCAACCCATTTTGGTACCGGTTTTTTGAGCCACAGCCATTTTGAGGGCCCTCCACTTGTTTTTTGAGATGAGACACTCATGTTCGATGGCAAATGTGAGCTGACGGTTATGGAAAAAACATGGGCTGTCCAGTGGAAATTCCTCGGGTCTTGTTTGTATCCCGGCATCGATTCCAGGTCTCTTGCCTCTGGAACCTACAGTGGGGGTCCTACCGGTGGCGCCTTGGCTGGTGGCGCCGCTAGATTCGCAGATCCGACGGGTCGAAACCGAGGTCTTCGAACTGGTCCTCCAGGGGCCGTCCTGGTCTGCAACCCTCGGACCCGCCGCTCGTGCGAACGCTTGGCCAGTCTTTTTGTGAGGGTACCATGGTTTTAAAGGGAACAAGGAAAGTGACCGAGCCCCGTGCGGCGTGTGGAAGATCTCGCGGAAGGCAGCGGTTCGCGGCAGGTTTGCGGAAGTTTGAAGTCACGCTTGTTCGCACTGGCTGTTTTTGACTTGCCCTGTGGATTGTGCATAGAAACGCAACAAGCTCCCCATTTTCTAATCAATCACGGTGCAACACAACACCCGAAGTCTTGAAGCTGCGAACAGCTGCGTAGCAGGCGCAGTTCGGCAAAGACATGGTGACATGGGACATACAGCTCAGCTTTACAAAGAGATCCAGCTGGCTTCGAGGGAGCCGGCAAATGGAAAACGCTGAGTCCGCACTTCCGACAGTCTGTGCTTTCCGACTTTCACATTCCCTGGTGCAGCAATACTTGGGGAAGCAAAGTTTGGGAACCGCAAGCCGTGGAAGGAAAGAGAACGATGCCCGTGGAAGTCCGAAGGAACCCTTGCGGGAATGCGGAAAGGTCCGGCCTAAGGGAACCCTTATCAAGATCTCAAGGGGATCCCCTACGTATGTGTCGAATGAGCTACTGTTTGAGGCATAGAGGGTTTGCCTTCAGGCCATCGCGTGGGCATCGGTGTCTGACAAGGCAGGGCTGTCTAGGCGTTGTTGCAAGTCTTGTCACAAGGTTCGAGAAGTGCCGCAAGTTGTGGGTTTCATTGTTCCACTGGTTTGTGACTTAGGAGTGTGTCAATTTAAGGCGGGCGTGAAACACGGAGTTGCCAGAGTACGGTTGCCTGCTTCAGGCCAGACGCACTTGAGAGTGGTCGGCAGCTTTCGGCATCGCATCTCGAGCAGCTTCAAGCAGATCGAGCTGGCAGCTAGTGAGGACTGCTACGAAGAACTACTTGTTCATGCGTTGGGAGTTCGCGCAACCACCAACACCCTTCCCAATTAGATGACAGCTTGATGATGGAATAGAATAAGAGATGTTCTGTCAAGCTAGCAACACTCAGTCTGCGCCGGCAATTGCCGTGACATCTAGAGCTTTGACACACACACACACACAAGCCATTCGGAGGCTGAAGAAAAGGAGATTTGGCTTAGGTGTTTAGGCGTTTTGCTTCCTGGCTGGCTTGGCTGTTTGCATCTGTTTGCTCTTTGTTTTTTGCCTGCTGGCTCTATTGGTTCTGGTACATCTGCTTGTATGCAATACACTTGTATTTTCCCAGTTTGGGCTTCTCTACTGGTACCCCACAGCGCATCAAAGCTCGGCGAAGGTTTCCAGGTGTGAAGACAGTCTACAACACATGAAGCCTGCCCCAAACTTCATTTGCTCGCGGAAATCAATCTACTAAGTAGTCAGCTGTTTGAAGTCTACCCTAAATCAACTCTCCAAATCCACCACACTCGCGTCTTGCATGATGCGATTTCAATCTCCCTGCATGTACGCCTAGGAGTGCCACATGCACATCTTGTTGGCATCAGAAACTTCACGTGCATTGGCAGAAGACCTCACCAAAAGAAAATAGCGCTTTCCAAAAACATCAGTTGTACATGTGCGCAGAACAGATGTGCTAGACCGCTGCACTGGCAAATGCGCATTTTGGAGTTTTGCTTTGCTACATTTACACTGAAAAGATCCAGATTTCGTGGCGGCGCGCTTTGCGCGAGGATAAAACGACCAGGTCAGCGGCCGAAGCGAACGGCAAACACTCGCTGCGGTGCAGGACTTGGGATCGGCGACGAAACGGAGAGATGGAGCAGGACGACCCATTTGCCCATAGGGAGACAAGGTCCAGGTGCACAATGTGAGCGTAGCTGGCCAGACATCTCGAGAGTTGGGCAGGTCTTCCCCATCAGAAGGTGCTCATCGCCCAAACCTGGCGAGTCATGCGCCGCGCAAAAGTGCTTCCCTACATCGCGCGGAGTGTGGTATGCATTCTACAGCTCAATCAGGCTATAGGGTGCTTTGCGCAGAATGTGGAGTCTGTGATGCCTTGCCGCAAGTGCTGTGCTTATGTTGTCCTTCAAGCCAAGCCTCAAGCACGCGCTGGTCCTTGTTCGCCGACGCAGGTTCTTTCGGCGGTGCAAGGCCACCTCGAACTCTGCACAAAGTGGCTTTGGCTGAATCCGGGAGGTGCCATTTATCGCGTGAAAGTATTTTTCTGGTTTTGTAGATGGACAGATAGTCAGGCAAGTAGGTAGGCGCTGGAGCACAGGAATGCGCACTGCGTCCAGGTAGTACGGCCCCTAGGCTCTAGTGTGCCACAGGTTGCAAGTCGAGCTGCTGGCGAAGGAGTGAATGCAGATGAGACCCAACCTCAGATTAGGCTTGTGAACTTATGTGGGTGTGCCTTATTTTAGCGTATCCAAAAGGGGTACCGTCAAAAACAGACAGACCCATGTCTTCGAGACCAGTTGAGCGAGGTCAGGCAAATTATTTGGATTGTTTTTGCCTCCAGGCTCCAAGCTGTCCGATCGACTAAAAATGAGACCATGTCGAATGTGAGAGATTTCTGCTTCCGTTGGCAGATAGTCAGCGCTCAGGGTGCATGTTGTGCGCGTCATTCGCGTGGACGGCAAGGAGGCCGGGCAAGGCAGGCTCAGGCCTAAGGCCACTGGAGTTTGAGGCCGAAGGTTTCATTTGGACTGCAAAAATCCTTTTGAGAGCCAGGCACAAAGATACTCATGCGAAGAAAATGTTTGAGACTTTGAGGCTGCTAAGGCCAAAGCGTCCTGACAGCTGCCATTGTGCTCGAGCACTGATAAAGCGTTTCAAGGTCAAGCATGTTGAACTCTGAATGCTGCGACGCAAGTGGCATGCACCACAAAATGTGCTTGATGTTTGGCCATAGCACAGCAGCAAGCACCCCACCAGAAAATCCAACATTTTAGCCAAGATATCATTGGTAGCTCGCCAACCCAAAAATGACGAAAGAAAGGACGTAACAGCCGCAGCCGCATCGCTTTCGGCGGCCTTGGGGAGAGATGGCGATGCGCGTGGGATTACCCGGGTGCCCCTCATTCTGCCATACGCCGGCGGCACTACGCGCCAGGTGCCGTGGTTTGCATGACATTTGCCGCACCCCGCTCTGCGCAATGCTGGGTGGATGGTAGATTTGCAGGATACAGCCGTTGCCTCTGCAAGCGCCAAAGCGCCTGCGCCGCGCCGAAGTGAAGACAGGAACACGGGGGGAAGGATGAAAAGACCGCCTGCCAGTCAGCAACTCCTTGCTGCAAGCTTTCCCGTGCCTGGCGAGGAGAGGCTATCCCTACTACGTGGCAGCAGGCTACCAAGCAGGCATGGCGTGATGGAGCTTGAGTTGAAGCTTTTGAGTGAGGGCATGGGGGTTGATCAATATTCCTGGGCCCCAAATGGCCATGGGTAATTTTGGTGGGACATATCCTGGGTTTAGTCGTGGTTTTCCAACGAATGGTCATCCCATGTATCGCGGACCTTTTGATCAACCCCCACATCAGGCTTTCACATAGAGAGCCTGAAGTGCTCAGGTGCTGAAAGTCGCGGTGCCAAACATCGGCTCCTTCATGCTGCCTTTGTGCCTCGGACAATCCTGTAAAGGCTGAGGGTATTCGCATGTCTCTGCTGATGTGCAGAAACGGCTTCTGAAGCATGAACCGCGAGCCGAGGGTGAATGAGCAGACGAACGTCATTTTGCGCCTGCGTTGCAAGATAGTCATGTGGACATGTTGGAATTGGCGAGCAAGTCAATCCACATGTCCTCGTGGAAGCGCCTAAGTTTAGATTTGGGTTTGTGTCAAAGTTTGGGTATCAGTTTCCGTCTGGAACCAGCAGTGTGGTTTCCCAAAAACCGACACTCATTTGGCATTGCGATGTCGCTGAGCTGAGGCTGGGCAAGACCAGCAGCGCTGCGTCCCTCGCAGCGGTTGGCCTAGGGAACATGATGCAGAACTGTGCTTTGGCAAGATTGGTGTAGCGTCCGCATGTGGAAGGATCAAACATACCGTGGATGCACGAAATGCTGCACAACCTAAGAAGCTCTGCAATGATGATTCCCTCGTAAATACAAACAAATAATGGTTTTTCATGGTTTTAAAGTGGTGCGGGGTTTTGTCCATCCACAGTAGTATGGTGCAACGCTTGTGAATCAACTACATTTCTCAGGGTGCTCGCCGCCAGCCAACTGCGTTGACAACAGCTTGCGAAAACGCATGTATTGAATCTTACCCACTTGACTACCGATGGCTGAGGTTCTGTGTGTGAGAGCATGGGTTCCATCAGTCCAGCGCAGCTTTCATGAGACGTTGACTGATTTACTTGGCGAATCCATTGATGTTCTCGTCCTTGGTGATGCATTGCGAGCGTGCTCGCGACTGGAGAATGCTCGCAATGCGTCACCTCGAAGGACAATTAGCAAAGCCGAGACAGCTGAAGCAAGCAAGCTGGACTGTTCTTCCCACTCTCTAAAAGGGAACATAGAAAAAACTGGGTGAGAGTGTGGAACCTTGCTTCCAGAGCGAGTGTGTTTCCTATGCGGAAAGTGCATGTCATATCCCTGCTCACCTATTTAGGTATGACTTTGAATTGGGAACCCTTTGGCAGACATATTGTTTTTTTTTTTTTTTGTGGGGATTTATGTCCACCAGCCATTTGCGAGGATATTCCCTTGTTAGAGGCCTAATATAGTCCCAATGTAGAGTTGTTCTGCTGCTAAATGAGGTCAATACGGGGTTTGCTTTTGCCGGAAAAGCGGGTGGTACTGAGGCATAGTAGAAACAGTCTTCGAGTTTCCATCTTCTTAGTGGGTTTCCCATGTAGAGGGCCATTTTTCTGCTCAACCAGGAGACTCCTTTGTTTCGCTTTGGCCATTCGCCTCATGGGCGATGCGCCATTTTGAGGTCTGGGCCTGAGCATCGGCTGGGGGCTGCTGGCTGCCCTGGACTCCCTGGTGAGCCAGGCGCACGGCGCTGGCAACAAGGCGCGGAGAGCGGAGAGCGATGGGAGAGAAAGCGCGCGGAAAGGGAGGTCCGGAGGTCCCCACTCCAATGGATCAGGTGAAGATGAGAAGGCGTGGAGGCGTGGAGCCAACTTCTTCTCTCTTTTTAATATGGTGTTGCTTGGCGAGGTTGTTTGATCAGTTTGAAGTTAGACATGGAGCCAGCAGCTTATCTCTTTTTTCATATGGTGTTATTTGACTAGGTGGTCAAACTGGCTATGTGTTTGTGTGTGTGTGTGTGTGTGCGTGTTGTTATAGGAAACCACCTCGAGTGGTTGGCGGACATGAACCCCCGAATTCAGTCCAGCAAAGGGTCCGGGGCCCATTGAAGTTCAGAAATGGTGGAGTTCTATGGACTTCCTGGGGAACCCAAGAAACAACAACCATGTTCGGCTAGTTTAAACATCCCAGCTTCCCTTTTAAAGGCTAGGGCTTCGACCACGGTCTGTTAGATACAGATTTGGCCCAACCCCAACGGAAGCATACGTCATGGCCGCCTTGACTGGCTGTGGCTTTGATCCTTTGACTCCAGAGGCGCACAGCAAAGACTTGAGAGACATAGTTGCCGCGAAGATTGGCGTACAGTGAAGAAGGTGGTGGATTTAGCAAACACATAGGATCCATCGCTGCCGGTGTGCCCGCAAGGTCAAGTTGTTACCAAATCAAAGCCATCCAGGAAAGTAAGCCTGCTTCTCTTGTTTTGAAAGCTAGGAAGTCTTGTGGCGCAATGCGTTGCCCTGCTTTGGCCAAACAGGTTTGTTTCGATGCTCTTCCTCCAGGCTATTGGTGAGTCATAAAGCTAACTTGCAAGAATTGCGACTTGTGCAAAAACAGACCTTGAGTGTGTCCACCTGAACTTGATATTTGGCCGCTACAGGAGCAAAACCTTGGCCAAACTACTTGCAACATTCTAAAGACTAGATAGTTCATACATAGCTCTTGGATTTGGCAGGAAGGAAGGTTGCCGAAGTGCTTGTCGCTTGTGCAGAGAAGTGAGGCTGGTAGGCATCCTAGCTTAGTATGAGGCAGCACAAGAGGTATCCAGTGTGGAAGTAGTTGGCAGTGGAATCAGAGGAGCAACACTCAATCAGTGTGATACTCATGAGAAAATGGGGGCGTGGGGGGGGGGGTTACTCACCCAAAAAACAATGTTGGGTTGGACATGTGCTGAAATATTGACCACGACTCAGAGGCGTCGTGTGTCCAGTTGGCTATGAATTTCAATGCAGAGCCAAGCCCCCTCAAAAGTGGTTGGTGGACACACACCCCCATGTGGGGTGATCTTGTCGGAGGGTACCCTTTTCATGGTTGTTTGAAGGGAAACCAAAAGGAACACCATATTTTGGGTGCGCCCCTATTTTGAGGCTTGTGTTTCCCACCGGGAAATCAAAGGAACACTCCAAAGAGGGCTGTGTCTTTTGGTTGAGACTACCCCTTGGTTTGGGTTTTGCCGGGAATCCAAAAGGAGCCGCCCATGTTGTGGGCTCAGAAAAAGCCATTACCGTCCCAGCTCCTCGGCTCGACATTGAGACACCTCCCATTCCTTTCTTTGAGACTTCCCATGTCCCGAGGGTTTTTCGAGCCATGCGCCAGTCGGCGGCCTGCGAGCACTTCCAGAGGGGCCGATTCATTGCCATGCTGCAGCTCCTGCCGGGACCCCCAGGGGCCCTAAGCGAGCGACCGCCCAGAATTGGGAGAGCTTAAAGCAAGTGGGTCTAGGTTGCTGGAAAGAAGAGTCTTGCACTGCTCAAGCATGGTTGCGTCTTGCAGCCGTACATGTGTTTTGCAAAGCTTTCGCAACGGAATCAGCTTGCAGCCCTTTTTTTGTTTGGGGGGGGGAATCCTTTTTGGGCCCAGGCGATTCCATGGAAGCTCCCAAGACCCCTTAGAAAGACTTGGTCCCATTCGCAAAGGCCGTCTGGGAGCTTCCGGCTGTTAGTCTGAGGGTGGTTTTGCAGCTCCCCTAGACAAACTTAGGTGGATTATCCCAGTGCTGTTCTGCTCCGAGAGCATCCTGATTCGGCTTGGGCAGAGCCCAGACGTGGCCAGCCTTGCGGCAGCCTACAACCGCACCACTGCACCAGCACTCTTCTTCTACTTCCAGTACCAGGCACTTGGGGATTGAATCGCGCGAGTTTCAACCATTCAACCACCAGTGGTTAAGCATACCTTTTGGTCTCCCAAGGTAGAATCTGCCTGCCTGTTCGCCCAACCCAAAGCCCCTTTCCGCCTTGCTTTGCTCTTTGGCTCGTTCCCGTGCCCTTCGAAGGTCCAACGGGGGACCAAAAACATCTGCGACCCCCGATCAGCAGGCAAGCCGCGCAACGATGTTGAAAGGCTGACGTAGAAGATCTGGTCGATGAGGATAGAAGGCAAAATTTACCAAGACACGATGAAGCGGTTAGTGCGACCATGACTGCGAGCGCAGGCGCTGGCAAAGTTCCTGCAGAATCAGTGCATCACAATTCCACCGCTGGTCATCAACGTGATGACCTCGATCCTTCATGTGGCATGGTGCAGCCAGGCTTTTGTTGGACGGAAGCCTCAACGAAATCACTTCTCGAGCTTTCGGTCAGAGAAGTGCCAACATCGCTGATGTTTCGCTCAGTGATACTCGAAGTAGAAGTTATAAATCACCCCATCTTCGCTCAGTTGGGGAGTTGTCTTCACCTCAGAAGAGAGCATTGACTCTTCACACGTGAGAAGCGCTTCGCTGTCAAGCTGCGCGTATAGCCCTTGGCCGAACGCAGCAGAGGTAGCCTGTTCGTGGCAAAGCTTCAGCTGGGCAACGCCGGTGCTGGCTATGCAAATGCCGTGACCTGGACATGCTGCCCGGCGTAAGCGTCTCGGGGCCTTCCCCAGAGCAAGAACCCAAATAAGGAACGGAGTCGCCGCTTGCCTTCAGGGTGTGTCGTGTGTTTAGGATTTGGACCCCAATTCAAATTTGGGTGGTTTTCCTGTCGGTTGCACCAACATGACCGAGTGGCAGAGCCAAATCCGCCAATTCCCTGTAAAACCCCGAAACAAAGGGGATTAAGACTTGGTGGCCCACAGCCACCCGGTTCCTTAATGTTTTAGGTCTTCAGGGTGTAGTGGTAGCTTTCACTTATATAAATAAGCGTTTAGCAGATCTGAAAACGGGCAGCCCAGAAAAGAGAGACCCTTGGCCAGATCCGAGGCCAGTGGATTCTGATTGCCCTCTACTGCCTGCGCATCGCTCCCAAGCTCAGCATGAGCCGCCGTGATGTTATGCTTCCAGGCACCTGGATTGAATGACTGTGGGCCCGTTCCAAGAGTCATAGGTGTCCTTTAAGGCCATAGGTGGAATCCGTAGATGAAACCACCAGGTCAACCAGTCGCCGTACAGTTTCTACCAAAACAACCAAAAAGGATGTTTTTTAGGTTGGCTTGGTTAACCATAGATGGGTTCCCCTGCTTTAGATAGATTTTATTAACCATTTACCCGGGAAATCCAACGATTGTATCCAAAAGGACACCTATGGCAAGAGTGCAAGAGTGCAAGAGTGCAAGAGTGCTCGAGAGCCAAGGCAAAGGCACCTTCGAGAAATGGGGGGCTTACCTGAAGGTGGCCATTCCCTGCGTGCTGCAGATGAGCGGCTCGCCTTTTGCTTGGAGAGCAGTTCTTAGTTGACACGGAGCCAGGGTTCCTTGGGATTTACTCGGACCCCAACACTCGAAGGCCCCCGAAAACTGGCGACAGAATACGGCAGGTTGACTGCCTTGAGCCTTCCATGTCTACGCTCTCGCAATCGGGAGGGACGTGTGCTGTTCGCATGTCCCTCGTGTGTGGTTCGTGTGCTTGTCGGGGTTTGCAGTCCAGAAGGTGGGCGGGCCGGGCACGCCAGGGAAATTTGCTCTGACTGGAATTCCAATCAGCTCTGTATGAGACAATTGGCGAGTGAAGGTTGTGGCTTTTAGGTAGGAGTCCCTTCCCAAATTGAATTTCACCGTGAGGGGATTTTTCGCTATTAGGCGTACATGTCGCATTTCAGGCCACCTTTTTTCATGATATAAGCGGTCTCTAGCTTTGAAAGGTTCCAGGATCCCTGCAGGGCGTGTTCATGCCTTCAAGGGTCGTGTGATGCTTCAGTGGCAGCGTGTTTTTCAGGAGCTCTCATTGAAGCAGCCTTTAATTGGGGTGTTGCGACGCCCTGAAAGGGCTTTCCTCAAGCGTGGTCTGACAACGACCAGCTGCCGCATGGTGACAACCTCATGCTAAACTTAGTCGTGTTGTTCCCCGGAGCGTATGAATTGGAGCCATACCACATAGTCATACGTGGTTTCGTGCAGCATAGCCAAAGCAAGTTGAAGGACAAAAGGGTTCCCCTGGAACTGAGTGGGGCCATGCATCTATTTCACCACAAGCATTTTTTAGCAGAAGCGGGGGGGGGCTTCCAAGACACTCAAGTGCTTTCTTTTGAATGTTGAGTTCCACACAGCGGTCAGCAGGAGGTCTTTCGTGCTTGACAAGCTTTATGTTGCGTGTTTAAGTAGCGCCGCACATGAAGCGGCTTTTTTGAATCAGGTTGTCCAAACTTGTTGATAAACTGCGGGACGTGTGTGGGGGGGGGGGGAAATTGTTGAATTTGTCCAGGACACATCGCCTTCAGGCAAAAGGTTGGGCCAAAGCATGTCCAAGCCTTTTACTCCAGATAAGCGTGGTTTGGGCTCCAGTCGAGCAAAGGCACATGGATCAGGTTGGATTCTTTTGGCACATGAATTGAAGGCAACAGCCTAGTTAGAGTCTTGGACAAGATCGGAGTCAAACTTGTGATACGGCTGGCGCATTCCCTTGCCTGCTGGTTGCAACACTCCTCTTGATTTGTTTGGCAACTCCTGCCAGCGCAGTGTGGATTAAGGCTACTCGGTACAGGGAACCTCTAATTTTGCCCCCATCAGAAATACTGCGCGAGACGGTGGCCAAACATGACAAATACAGATGCTGTTGGTTTTGGCCATGACACAGGGGTTGGTTGCATATGCTGGGGGTGCTTGGTAACGGTGTAATTAGATGCTGGCATGGTCAACGGTAAAATCCCTTTTTGCTACTCAGCAATACTGCTGAGTCCATCCAAATATTGTGTTCTTTCTCTTACGTCGGAAAGCCTTCTGCCCATGCAAATCAGAATGCGAACAAACATGAAAGATGGTCATGTTTAGGAAACAGGACGCACATCATGATGCAGCAAATCATGAGCATATCCATGCTCAACCACCAGAGGCCTGGAAGATGTACCATTCCACTGGCCAGAGATGACCAGTCTGAGCGGGGGCAAACGCTTGTCAAAAGATGTGGGGGGATCCAGTCGATAGAATTCGGATAGGTCCACCCTATGCTTGGTTCTCTTTTGCCGCAGTAACTTCCAGCGAAGCCAGCTTTTTCAGGCAGCGAGTGGTGGTTCTGGGAGATCTGCGCTTTGATCGTGGGGTTCCTGGGCACCATCCCCTTGGCGGCACATGTGGCAGCGAATCAGATCATCGCCTTGTGTTTCATGCCCTTTGGCCCAATTCAGGGTGGCGCACCATACGAATCGTGATATTGGCAATGCCTTCGACTTCGGGGCTTTTGGAAGCCTGGAAGACACCCATGCCTACAAATGTTAAAGAGCAACTCTTGAGCGGAAGAGCAATATGCTAGTGCTAGTGGATGTTTTTGAGCTTTGCCGCACGGCCAATTGACAAGAAAGCGGCCAAAACTGCAAATGACCGTTGCAAAGCTCACGGGTGGGCACGACATGATCCGCTACCTATTTGCCTGCGACCAACGGCGGGCTTGCCTTGTTCCAGCGCGCGCAGGTCGAGCGGTTTGGAAGTTTGGCTCAGGCCGGCGCTCGGCATCGCCACTGCCGCCTCTGCCTTGGTCGGCAACATGCTGGGCGCAAACAGGCGGGAACGCACGTCCATGTCTCAAGAGGTGTCGGATTCAAATTCGGATCTTGAAAGGATACCGGCCGCATTTGACATAGCTCGCCGGGCATGCTCGGAATGGACCACGGTGTGGCAAGGTGAGTCACGGTTGCTAAGGGTTCAGAAGATTCGCGTCAGGCCGCGGGAGGCCAAGCAATACGTCAAGGTGTGCTTGGTCATGAACTTCTTCGTGTGGCTCTCCATAGCGGCGGTGCTGTCGCCTCTTGGCCAAGAAACGGAAGACGGCTCGAGCGAGCGAGCGAGCGGCGGGGATCCGCAAGATTTCGAGAATGAGCCAAGGTTCGGCCGGCAGCACATAGCGAATGTCTACGTCAAGCCCGGGGAGGCGCTTAGCTTGCAGAGCTTGACAGGTGGGTTTTGGGCTCGATGGCACCGTCGTTGGATCTTATTCCGCACGGAAAGACGTTGATCAAGTGCAACTGGGGGAAATCCAGTGACTGGTTGAGGGGTTCGCGGAAGGAGTAGCACAAGGCAGCCTTTGCGCAGTGTGCCTTGTGAGGTGTCAACGCTCATGCAGAGTCTTCTGCTGATCTTTGCCTTCGCCCCCCGGCAGTGAAGCGAACAGGCGGCACCAGGTCTTGGCTTTAGTTGCAGGCAGAAAAGTCACTGAGACACTTGAGGCAGTGAGCCAAACATAGTAAGCCTATACCAACAGTTTAGCAATATGGCCAATATGGGGGTGTCTGTGTTTGGTAGTAGCTGTTTCTTGGTGTTTCAAGGTAAAACCAAAGGACAACTGAGGCCCTGCTTCCATTCTTAGGCTGGCTTTCCGGACACCACGCAGCACGTCATGTCGGGTGCCCTCCGTGGAATGGGTATGGCGACCGCTGGCAGCGCCTTTCGATGGCAGAAACCGACACCCCGCGTTTTCGCCCGCATCGGTCAATGGCGGTGTTCAAAAACTACTGGGGAGGATCCTATGCTTGAGGCTTTTAATAAGCGGAGGCTGGAAGGAAGTCTTGTAGCTTGGCATGAGGTGGTGTACCTTCTCAGCTACTATGGGCTTATGCTGCCGGCGGGCTATGCTTTGGCGTTTCCTTTCGGACTCGGTGTCCGCGGCGTGTGGCTGCTCCGACCGCAGAACAGTTGCAACGCGTGTTTTATGTGGTTGGATTCTCTTCAACTGCCTTCTCGAGTCGTGCATGCTCAAACCGGCCGAGGTATGCCTTCGGCATCGGCACGTCTGTGGCAGTGGGAGTGTTCAGCGTATTTCTGGTGCGAAGCAGCTTTCGGAAGCTGGCGAGAAGGATCTCGGCCAAGCTCCTTTGATGTTTTCCCAAGGGGCAGGCTGGCTAGGCCGCCCACCGCACTTGCGGCAAAAGAAGGACCGAAAGCGAGCCGAGTGGAGTCGTCTTGTTCCGGCCAAACGTCAGGCTCCTTGGAACAGGACAAAAGGAGCGGAGCCGCGCTGGCCGGATGTTTCTCCCATAGACTTTGGCTTTCAGGGAGGGCTCCGGAGGGCTACGGCTTGTTTTTGGGGGAGGGGGGGAGGTTTGGGGCAGCTTTCAGGAGTTCCGTGTTGGGGATACTGCCTGCGCTTTTTTTGTTTGGGAGGACGAGCGTTTGGGGCATGGCACGTCTGACACGTGCACGTGGGGCTTGGCGGCCAGTCCACCTTCACAGCAGCCCCGTCAGCGGAGCTTGCCAATGCGTGGCAGCTCACACAAGAACTTCTTGGCCAGGAGGACTGAGTGGATCCAAGGAAGAGAGGATGCGGGGGACTGCCAAGTGGATCCAAACAAAAAAGAGGATGAGACATGCAAAGAAGAAATAGCTGTGCGACAGTGAGGTGGAACGTATAGTTTAAGTTCATACCATCCAGGCCACGCTGGTTTCTGAAAAAAGCCTTCTGGTGCGCACTGCTCCACAGGAGGGATCGCTTGAGTATGATGATTATGGTCCCGGCTTTGGGGTCGTTGTGCGAAGCTCAGCTGTTGTCATTGGCAAGGCATGAGGCATCTATATGTGTGTGTGCACGTATGTGTGCATTATTATTTTTTTTGTGTGTGTGCTTGCGACGTTTTGACCTAGGCATCACGTATCCTTGGTGAGGATAATGCTGCAGATGGCAGTCGGGGCACCCTTTGCCAGGGTGCTGCTCATTGCCATTCATATTGCAGATAAACCAGCATGCGCGCGCACCCACCCACACACACACACACATGCACGCACGCAAGCACGCACGCACGCACACACGCACACATGCACACACACGCACCCACACACACACACACACACACACGAAGCACACACACACACACCCGCGCACACACACGCACACGCACACGCACACGCACACACACACACACACACACACACACACACACACACACACACACACACACACACACACACACACACACGCGCGCGCAGTCTGGCATACGCGCGCAGTCTGGCATACAAGGCAAGCCCTTCCAAAGAGTTGAAGGTGACATGTGGCTGAGAACTTTATTGAAAGCCACCTCGAAAGTGGTTGGTGGACATGGCTTGTCCACCAAATGCACAATTGCAAAGAGGACGCCTGTACAAAGTCAATTGCACGGTGAACTCATCATGATCTTGGCTGCAACAAGAACGGATGTACTCCACTGAGAGCAACAAGCGCACATGTTACACTACAGACAGCAGATGCATCATAGACCAGCGATGTCCTTGAATTTGTATCAAGCCCGTGTTGCAAGCAGAGCAGCACCTTGACAGCGTGGCCCAAGCATGCAGTGACATGTTTGCTGCGGCATTGAACAGATGCATGTTGGGGATAAAGCCTCAGACCGTGATTTGAGCATGTAAACCTGCCAGAACGACTGTTGTTTGGCGGGGTGCATCCGCCATAGAGTCCGAGCCATCGTTGCAACATCAGCTTCAGATAGTTGCAGAACCAATTCCTTGACAACATCCCATTCGGGAACTCTTGCGCGGGCGTCCGGCAGACCAAGGGTTGGCTCCACCCACCCCAGCCCATTCAACGGGTCACATGACGTGGCTAAAGACTGCAAGCAACTGTGTTTTTCAGGGGACCCCCCAAAAAAATGGCTGGTGTCCTTTCTGTTCAAACCAGGAAGGGAGACCCATATTATATTGTATAATATATATATAATACATATATATATATATATTATAGTATTAGTTCTGGCATTATTATTATTATTATATTAGTATATTATATATATAAGTGGTCAGACGGATAGCCTCAGAAGCGCAGACCCCTCGGAGGTAACGCAGGCGTTGAGATCGCTGAACTCGGATCCTTTTTTTCTGAAGATTTCTCAAGGCGCTGTGCTTTGCATCTGGGTGATCGATCCAGCACCGATGCTCAAGCTCCAGGAAGGTCCGACTGAGCCAAGGCTGGTTTTGGGCTCTCTATGCTTATGGCTCCTTCACGCAGGAGCCCCGGGCTCAGATGGACGAGCTGCGTGCCTTGAGTGCCTATGGTGGATGGACAAAATCCACTTCGCACCTCCTAAGAAACCCTGGAATGATTCGATTCCCCCACAAATACCAACAAACACTGGTTTCAACCATGGTTTCTTAGCGGATGCAAAATCATCCGCAGAATGTTAGGCCTTGACAAAATTGACAATTAGCCTATCACCTATCCCAGCTAGGAGCAACTGCGTGTCAGTTGCGTGTCAGATTTCCTTGTAAGTTCCAAGCAGGACCTGTATTTGATAGCTATGGTTGCTGGCTTGCTCTCAGTGAACAATGCAGGAGCCCAAATTTGCACACATTACGCCAAAGTAAGTGCTACGCACAGTTTTCAGGGTTTGTCCCAAAACGTGGCTCAAAATCAAGCAGCGGCAAGACCTGCGTGTTTCCATGTACCTTTTGGTGCCATCTTGGATTCCCTTTTGAGCAGAAACAGGTGGCGCCGTCCCACCAACTTCATGGGTCCCCAGCCCATTCGGTGGAGTTCGGTCCCCGAGCAGGTGGCTTCGGTCCCCGAGCAGCGCAGATACCACAGACCTGGACACCTTCCCCCACATCGCCTGGGTGGCCTGCAGGAGACTTGTGCGAGACGCGGCCCGCCGTGTTCGGCGTTTCCGTCGAAAGCCAAGGGACCACTTGCAGAGAAACCAATGAGGATTCACCTGTAAACACCAACAAACCTGGTTGCAACCAGGATTTCTGTAAAATAAAATAGTTCAGAGTCGTGCAAAATGAAGTTGGTCCGCAGTATCGAAAAGTTGGTGGGGTTCCCGGTCCTCCGTTTTTAGCACTATGGGGGGGGGGGGTGAATTGACGTATTGGCCCCAATGCATGATTCTCATGGGCTTGGCGAAAGGTATTATCCGGATATCAAGCAGAAGCATGCTGGGATCTTGTTGAAGCGGTGGGACGGCATCGGGGCCCAACATGGGAGCAGGACAGCCGTGGATCCCCGCGAGGAGACGGAGAGAGACGGATGCTCAGCATGTGAGAAGGTGGGTTGATCCCAAAAACGGGGAACCCCATCAAATGCTTGGTGTCCTGTTAATTAAAGCCCACACGCAAAAGAAAAGCCCAAAAAATAGGCCGAAAAGGGGACCAGGTGCCAGGGCTTGCAAACCAAGAACCCACACCCTTCATTCGTCCAATAGCTGGGGCTTGGCTCTCAACATCTTGCTGCTTCGCAGCTCTGAGGTGACCAGGCTGCTGGGCAGCAAGCCTTTGAAGAGCTGAGACAATTCGCGCGCGTAGCGAGAGCCTGGCAGTTTGTTTCCCAAGATGGGATCCAAATCAGGGCACGTTATGAATGCACCAACCGGGTGCCAAAGAAAATGAATCTGAGAGGAGGCGTTGACGTGCGCTTTGGAATCGCGTGGTCCGCACAGCACAAGCATGTGAAACTGGTCCGCGGTCCGCATCTCCAATCGAACTCGTAAGTCCAAGCAGCTCCCTTGAAATGTGACAAGGCACATACCGTAGCGCACTTATTCAGTGCATAGCAACCACTGGTGAAGTGTTCCATGTTTGTTTGCTGACGTGGATAGATTCGAGATTCCAAAGGCTCTAAAAGCAAGCACCATCGCCTCGCGCGCAATGGCATCAGAAGAAGACATCGCTGCTTTAGTGGAGGAGTTCGAAAGGTCCAGAGGTGCCCAAGATCCAAGTGAGATGTCATAGCGCAGGTGCAGAATGGCATGCAACAACTGAATGACTGAATGAATGACCTGATGTTTTGGTCTGTCAGCCTCGCGGAGCGGTTGAAGATGAGGTGTTTGTTGATGTGTGAGCAAGCCACGCTTGTGCAGTTTGGAGAGAAGCACATTATGTTTGTGTGCGCGCAGGGGGCCGACAAGAGGGTCCAGCTGCAATCTCAGACTTTGCTTTGTTGCACTCGCTTGCGATTCAGACAGTCCGTTGCCACTGGACGAGAAGAAAGACAGTTGCTTGATGCAGCGAGAAGGCCAAATCACTCACAGGTGCATATATAGGAGCGTTGTGTGGAGCGTTGTGCGTGCCTGATTCCAAAGCAAGGATGAGAAAGAAGAGCCCAAGAAGCAGCTGACAGAAGAGCAAACAAAGGCCAATGGTGATGGTGTGATGCCGCAACTGAATTCGTGGCGCATAGGGGGGACACGGAGTTTTGAGTAATGTTTTCAGGATCGATATGTGGCCGTGCGTTTGCAATGATCTTTTCCTGACTGGCAGAATCGGTCCAGCCACAACTCTTGCTTCAAAGATAACGGTGGCAGAACACTAGAGAACAGCGGCAGGTGCTTAGCCTGTTCTGTTCAAAGCACGGGTTCCATTTGCTGTCATCCTTGTTGTGAAATCTGTGGTGACAGCATGCAGTATCGCGTTGACTCTTGTACCGGAATAACTGCCTGATAGGAATCACCCTGGCTCAAGCCAATCGCAGCAAAAGGAGCACCAGTGCGAGGGCCTCGCGTTCGCACTGGTAGCGAAGCAAAGTGGACCTTTGGGTCGCTTGTTTTCGTTGCTGACCTGCCATGGCCAGAATCCTCGAAGCCCTATGCTGGACTGGGGCCGCGCCGGCAGCTGATGACCAGGTAGGAGGCGGCGGCATAGTTGCCACGCAATCCCACGCTTCTGAGCAGAAGCCACCTGGCTGAATGAGCACGCCCTCCGCATCAGGACCCGCATGGTCAGGGAGTCCCAGCTGTCAAGGAGGAAGGAGCTGGGCTCTCGGCCTGCGCGTGAAGGCCTGACTGGCCACGCCTTCAGCGCCCAGACGCTCAGGGCGCAAGACCTTGCTGGTGAGAGAGAAGGGGCCCAAGCGGGCACAGCAGGCGCGGAAGCTGTACGCAACCGGGGCAACTCACGGCATCCCATCGCGTCAGACAGGCGAATGTATGAGCTCCTACATCCTAAAAGGGGAGGACACGGTATCGCTGCACGCTTGACATGGAGTCGGAAAATGGCCCTTCGTCAGTTGTTGATTCGCACAGCTGCGCAAGGGAGCCTGACGTTTGAGAAGGTAGCGGATGAGTTACTGCTGTATTAGCATACCTCACGACCGAAAGGGACGAGGATCTTTCAAGGGGTGCGGCAAGAAAGGCTGTGGCCGCACCTCCTGCTCCCGGACCCACGCCTTCTATGCCGACGACACCTTTGAAGGTGACTGGGGGGAGGTGGGCAAGGAGCCCTGCGTTGACGCGGTCGATGAGATAACAACGCAAACCACGAGACCTGTAGAGGAGCAGATCAGATATAAAACTCTGCGCTGCAACTGGAGATGGCCGTCTCCAAGGGCATGGTTGGACTACATTCGTGAGACGCGGTCTGCAGGATTGCACCTGTGGAGATATGCTTTTGGAACCTCTACGCATGGAAGTCGTCCCAGCACGAAGCGCTCTAGCAGCGCCACAAGTGCTCCGACATCTACAAGGACAACAAGGGTCAGCCAGCACAAGCTTACGCGATGCAAGGCTGAGGTGGCTGTCACACGCTGCGGCTCTGGATGCCAACTTGGATCATTGAGAACATCAGTGAGACTTTGTCAGTCACGGCCGCTCAAACAGGTGCGCACCTTTTGATGGAGCTGGAGAAGTTTGAGGAGAAGGTCTGCAACACCACAGGGCTGGATCGAGGGGCTCACACCCACTACTCTACTGAGGCGGAGTCCTCAAGCGGATCACGCAGCACGCCATTCAGTCGAGGTTTGGATGACACGAAGCTTCTGCGCCTTGGGTCTTGAGAAAGCTCCCAGTCAAGGTGGGCTCTCTGGCAGCTCTCTCTGCTGATCAACGCTTGGGCGGGCATCAGGAAAATTTTGATGGTGAGTCCGAGCTTGCGCGCTCTGTGCAATTGCGGATAGCTGCAAAGGAAGCCTGCGCCTACGTGGAAAGCTCAGCAGATGCCCCGACTCGAGGACCTTTTCTTCCTGGAGATCTGACATGTTTCTTCGGAAGGGCGCCGGCAAGCACGGACGTTGGTTTGGCCACTGCGACAAAAGTGTCAAGAGGCCCTCGACGAGGCACACCCTTTTGGTGAGACCTTACGGAGCACCGACCCGATCTTCCGCTGGACGCACCTGGAGCCTGCGCAGGGCCCGATTCGCGGGTATCACAGCGGCATTCTTCCGGACTTCCACTATCACCCGTGGATGAGTTGGACGAGGGGATCAGGGAGCTGTTCACGGAGGGGACAAGCGCCACCAGACGTCACACTCGCAAGCCGGTTGTCAGGGCTGGGGCTGTGGCTGCGCGCGGGGCCCGTGCTTGGGTGGTTCTTTCGCAGGGGTTTGCAGGGCGCGGCATTGGTGAAGCGGGTTGAGGGAAGGGCTGCGCGGCGCGCGATGTGGTGTTTTGCCACGAGCGCGACACACCCCACCCCGCCCCACTTTGCATCCTCTCATAAAAGTGACCGCCAACACCCAGCATCTGCCGCTTCATCTCACTTTCAAGGAACGCGACTGCATTTTCAAAGTGGTGAAAGAAACGCGACTATCCCCACCCACTTCCCCAAAGCCAGAGCGTGCGCTTGTTGACTGGGCGAGTGCGCAGATGACAGGATCCCCACTCAGCGCGTACTTTAGCCGGCGCGCGCGCCGCCTGGCGACGCAAGCAACATTAAGAAAAGGTTGGCGAGTGCGCAGATGCCCCCCTGCCCGCCTTGCTTTTGCAAGCGATGCTCAAGAACCACAATTTCACAAGGCTCCATAAGCCATAAGCGTCAGAACATGTGCGGGGTGTGAGGGTATGAGGTCTAGCGCCTGGCTCCTCACTGGCCTTTCTCTGCAGCTGTAGCTTTGCAAGCCAGGCTTTGCTGTCAGAGCTGAATCATCAACAGAGAGAGGACAGAAAGCCGGGCAGAAAGCCGGGCTTTGATGTGACTCTGTCGTGCAGGAGCTTTGCCACGTGCTCAAGGTCGGGCTCGCTCGGAGCCTCGAGCCTCGGAGAGGACTTGAACCAAGGCGCAGCAAGATGGACACAAGGACATCAGGCACGTCAGAAGAGCATGTGCCGTTGCACTTGTTTACTGGGGTGACCACTCGGAAAGCCGCCAAAAAAGATGACTTTCACCCGTGGTCATGTCGGGGCCAGCGTGGCGACTCAAAAATGCTTTCTTTTGCTAGGAAAGAACAATCCTGCGCAAAGGATTGAACACTTGGGCTTTCGCGCTTGATTTGCACATGTTTCAACCAATTTGCTCAACTCCTGCCAGAAAGCGATTGGAACCCAAGTCCTTTGGTGGGCAGGCTTTCTCCTGAGCTTGCGCGAATCTTGCAGAGGCAGGCTGCGAACCAAGTATGCAACACTGCGGGTGGCTCGTCTTTTTGCAACTCGTGTCGAGCATGGGGCTGGGGCTCGGCCGCTTCTCTTGGATGGCCTTCCGTTGGCGCATGCTTTGTTTCTGTTTGTTGATACGCCGCTTCGCAATCTTGGCGCTGGTGCCAATCTTAGCCTAAAAGGCCGGCTGTCCCTCTTATGCAAACCGGTGACATGTGCCCGGCTGTGTGGTGGTGTTCCTTGTGGTGTCCCTTTCAGCCCAACAGCTAGAAAACGGGTGGCCCGAAAGCATTTTCCACGCCTGAATCGGTCTATTTTCCCAACTATCCAATGCAAATGCAAGCATGGCAGTGCCAAAAGCAACAATTCCCAAGTGTATGAAGAAAGACAATTCCGTTTGTAGACATTGTCTTTGCGCATTTTTTCTGTGCAGGTCTGCACGTCGCTCTCAGCAAGTTGCCATGTGCAATGTACTTCGCGTACTACTTTTAAACTTGGAAATTGCGACTTTTCAGCCTGAGCTTCGCGTACTACCTTTGCACTCAAAAGTTCCGACTTTGCAGCCGGAGCTGCGGGGACGTACTTCGCGTACTACTTCTGTACTTACAAGTTGCGACTTTGCAGCCGGAGCTGCGGAAATGTACTTCGCGTACTACTTTTGCATTTAGAAGTTGCGACGTTGCAGCCTGATCCCTGCAGACAGTTGAAAATCGCAAGAAACCCCCAGTTTTGCACCTCGACCACGCCGACCCCCGGAAAAAGGGTCAAGCGCGCTTGGCAGGGCAAAAACTCCAGTTTTTACACGTCGACATCTCATTGTCTACTTTCCCTGCACATCATCTACGCACTTGACTCTGCACATGCCCAACGCATGCCTCTATGCATGTCACGTCTACTTTCCCTGCGCATGCCATTTCATTGTCTACTTTCCCTGCTCATGCCTCTACTGTGCACTTTCCCATGCATGCCTCTATGCATTTCACT